CCCTTCCACATTTGTAGCCACCAAAAATCTCTGGATATAAGCTCCAAAGTCTTGTTGTATTCAAAATGTCTTGCTGCTAGAAAGTTGTGACATGCTTGAAAAACATATAATCGTGCTTCTCCTTTTAGATGATATAATTGACCTTCAAAGTAGAGTAGGTTGTTTTTGAACTCAAACTTAGAAGTATCTTGGGACTTAGAAGAAGGATTCTTGATATTGTGAACAAGAGGATCAAAAGACATACTTGATTGGATTTATTTCATAAGGGTCAAATCAACAATCAATGTTGATTTCATTACTTGAAGATGAAAATGCTCTAGCTTCAAGAGAATTGTTCTTTGTTGATTAAAAGATGTATCTCTTTCTTTTGATACAAGATAAGAATGTCTAAAAAACACGTTTGATAAACCTTGTTGTTTTCCAGGTTGATATGTGATCTTGAAATCAAATCTTGATAAAGATATATTCCAACGAGCTTGGCAATGATTTAAAACACGCACTGACATGAAGTACTCGAGATTCTTGTGATCCGTTTACATGGTGGCTGGATTAGAAACGCCTTTTAGATGATGTTGCCATTCTTGAAACGAACCCACGATTATAAAAAGCTCTTTGTCGTGGATTTCATAGTTAATCTTGGCTGTTGAAAATTTTTTCGAATGAAAAGCTATTGGATGAAGTTTATCATCTACTCCCATTTGTGATAATACAACACCCAAAGTAAAGTCTGATGCGTTTGTTTCCATTAAAAATACTTTAGAAAATTTGACGCGATATAAGATTGGTGCAGAAATAAAGGCTGACTTCAAAGTTTCAAAAGATACTTCAGCTTTTTTACTCCACTCAAGTTTGTCTTTGCAAGTCAAACGTGTTAGTAGAGTTGCAACTCGAGAAAAGTCTTTGATGAAGATTTGATAATAGTTGGCAAAGTCCAAAAAATATTAGACATCTCTTACTATTTTTGGAATCTTTCAATCTATAATTGTTTGAACTTTCTTAGAATCTATCATAAGTCCATCATTTGAAATGATGTATTCTAAAAAGTCAACTTGAATAATATAGAATACACATTTTTTTTTTTTTTTTTTTTTTTTTTTATTATTATCTTGGCATAGATTCCCACATCTCTTGATTTTTGTAATATACGATAAATATGAAGTTCATGTTCATTTTTATTCTTAGAATAGATCAAGATGTCATCTAGATAACAAACAACAAAATCATCTAAAAATTGTCAAAAAACATCATTCATTAGATGTTGAAAAGCTTATGGTACATTTGTAAGTCCAAAAGGCATGATATTGTATTCAAAATGCCCATACCTAGTTCAAAATGCACTCTTCGATTGATCTCCTTCTTTAATATGTAATAAATTGTATGCTCCCTGTAGATCTATTTTTGTGTAAATCTTAGCTTGATTCAGTTGATTGAGAAGTCCGGATATCAAAAGTAGAGGATACCTATTCTTAATGGTGAGCTTGTTAAGTCCTCGATAATCAACTCACATCTGCAATGCCCTATCTTTCTTCTTCACAAATAAGATTGGAGCTCTTGCTGGTGATTTGGAATGGTGTATGAAATTTTTGGCCAGATTTTTCTCAATATATTCCTTGAGTTCAGCCAATTCATTTTGTGATAAACTATAGATTGGTCCAAATGGTGGTTGTGCTCCTTCTTGAAGGTCAATTGAGCAGTCATAGGGATGATGTTTTGAAAGAGTATCCACATTCTTCTTCTCAAATACATCTTGAAATTCTTGATATTCGGATGAAATGCCACTTGAAGTCTTTACATCATTAAAAATAGGTGTGGCGTAAATGATACAAGGTGATTCTTCTTTTGTAGTATATAAGAAAGCTCTTATATCTACAAATATAGGTTTAATTATACTAGACTTATGACTTTCTACTAGATTAATTTCACTCTTAATAATGCTTTTAGAAAATTTAAGGGTACGAGAAATCCAATCTATACAAGGATTATATCTTTCTAACCATGATAAACCTAAAATGATTAGATTACAGGAAGATCTAATTATATTAAAGATTATGCAACTACTATGATCATTTATTACTACATCTATAGGAAGTGTTTCATGAATAATATCTCTATAAGAGAACGGATAATCATCTATGACTTCTACATGAACAAGTTTGATTTTTTGTACTAACAATATTTTATGACTTTTAACAAATTCTACATCTAAGAAACCAGTTGAGGCTCCTAAAGCTATCCAAGAGGAGGCTTTATAATTATTAGGTTTTAAACACATATCTATTATAAAACAAGGAGAGGGTTTTGAGGAGAGGATAGGACCTTCATTAGAAATTGTATAAGATTCTAGCCACACGATCCCTATTATAGTTGGACAAATTTGTTTTCCAACACATTGTCTTCTTTGATAGATAAGCTCCTCATTTTGTAATTTTGTTGCTTCTTTGGACAATGTTGAGTAGTGTGTTTAGATTTCTACAATGTAAGCACAATACTTTTTGATGGCAATGAGTCTTTTCTTCCTTGATAAGAAGTTTAAAACGTATCACATCAATTTGCATATCCTCTACTTCTAAATGTATATATTGAGGAGATGTTGGTATTGCCATCAAATTGTAGTAATGTTGAGGCCCATTTGTACGACTCTTAGATCAAAATTTAAAAAGTTGATTGTCACATTTCATAGTAAAGTCAATTGCTTGACTTAATGTTTGAGGATCAAGTAAGTTGAGCATCAATTTCTTTACTTCATATTATAATCCTTAGAAAAATTGGCTAATAAGTGCAACATCATCTTACTTGATATCAATTACAAGTTGTTGAAACTATGAAGCATATAACGTTATAGATTGATTGTCTTGTCACAAAATATGGATCTTGTTGGTTGCTACACGAGTTGCATCATGTTTTCCCTACACGGACTAGAATTTTGTCAAAAATACCTCCAGATTATCCAATATTAGATCTTGTCGTTCAAAAAAAGATGAAAACCACGATAGTGCTAAACTTGAAAGAAGTGTACCAATGAATCTAATTTGTGATCTTTGAGTTGGATAGCTTTGAGGTTGAAGTTCAATCACAAGTTGTACTTGGTTGATAAATCCTCAAAATTTGGATCTTGTACCATCAAACTTCTCGGGCAGGGAAACTCTTGGTTCTTTAATACTTGAAGGATGCTCTACAGTGGGTGGAGGGACATGATTTGTTACAAATGTTGAAGCAGCTCTAATTATCTCTATATCCTCTCTTCCAACCATTCTTGTTGATCCTTGTAGTAGCAAGTTAAGTTGCTACATTGCAAGCATCAACTCCCTCAATTGCTCTTGCATTTGTACCATTGCACTCTTTATTTCAACAAGCTTTGCCATAATAACACTCAAAAAAATATCTAATATCACTCAAGATAAGTACAAAGAAAGACTTTAGGACAAAGAAAATACTAAGAATAATATTAGTTTAGAAGACGGTAATCCGCAACTTCTAATATGCTTATGTCTTATCATGAGAAAGGAATAATCCACTCTTAATTAAGACAAGATAAAGCTCTGATATTATAAGTGTACTCTTGTCAATCTATAAAGGACATGAACTAAAAGATGATGCATAAACCAATGAAATCCGTATCAAAGAAAGAGTAATAAAATAGAAATAAAAAAGTACATATATTAAAAAGAATGGCTTATTGCCAAAAGACAAGAAAATTTGAAACTCTTGAAACTAAATTAAAAGTAAAAAAAGAATTGACAAGAGTGAAGAAGCCTTCATTCTTGTCTCTATATATACTACCTAATTAGGGGCTATGTAGCGATGTTCTATAGGACCTCTAATATATGTTGACTTTATAGGATACATGCCTTGACTTACAAGGCAAGTTTTTCTATGTGTAGGCAACATAATTAGCTTGGTCTTCAAGCTAACAACATGTGTGGCATATGGCCAACTTATTGACCATATTTTTAACCTAAAAAGTCAATTAAAGACACCTATAAAGTCAAAGCAGTATCTATGAAGCTTCTAGGAAACTTTTATAGAAGATGTTATAGAATTAATATACTTTTACTTACTTCTACTTACTTCAATCTATTTATACAGATAATTACTAGCTTACATGCGTATATTTGTGACATTGTGTTGTAGATTTGAGATTAATTTAATGATTAGATTCAATGATTAGATCAAAGATTATCAAAATTCAAATAGGTTAAGGTTTTAGAAATTGGATATTAAGAATTAGAGAGGATTTTTATAATTTTGAGTATTTTTTTTATTAGATTGAAATGATTATTTTGATAAGTTGATTGTTGGCTTAGTTTCTAAAAGTTTTAAATTTATTTAGATAAAATAAATAGTATAATAGGAAGCTATTGACATTGAAAGCTTTATTTCAAGATTAAAGAAGATGGACAACCAACACCTAAGTGGATCATAAGCTTTTTCCACCAATTTGTAAGTTTTTTTGAATTTGTAAATTTTGGACGTTTTAAATTTGCTATATTATTTACTTAGGATTTGATTAGAGTTTGTTAGAATTCACTTAAGATTTAGTTAGAACTTATTTAAAAGTTCAGTAGGATTAAATTATAATTTAGTTAAGATTTCTTTAAGGTTGATTAAGATTTGGTTGGGATTTTTCTATGGTTTTTTTAGGATTTTTTTATGATTTCTTTTTTTATGATTTCTTTAGGATTGATAATGGTTTCTTTTGGATTTAATTAGGATTGATAAAGAATCACAATATAATAAGATGTTTCTAGGGTATTTTTTAGATTAATAAGATATACTTAGTATAATTGGGAAGCTTACTTAGGTTGTTCAAGATTGCTAATAAGATGTTTACAAATACCATATGAATAGTTTTTGAGTTGTAAATCCAACTTTAAGGTAAATCAAATTCTTCCATTGCCAAATGCCTAATGTATTTCCATGCTAATTTTCACATAACACAACAATGGACATCTCCAAATAACTTATCTCTTCACACACAAGACATCACTCAATTCTTAGTATATGAGTTAATTCCTATCAGAAGCTTTTTTCCATTACTGATATAATTTATCCAACATTCAGTACTGTATACCAAATTGCCATAGCTTCCGAAGGAATTGTCTCGGGGTTGCTAAAACGCTACAATCTCTACACAATCTGCTTACTTAGCACCACTATCGGGGTAGAATTGATGGCGTTTCAGCTTCCTGCTTTCATTTCGAAGACTCCGATGGCTTTGTCTCAAACGTGACATCTAATACACAGAGCTTGAGTTCTTCTATGAACACTACTATTCATATTCTGTTTAGTGAAACGAGTGCTGCTAGAGACTTGACGTGCTCATAATATAAAGTTTTTTTTCCCCAAATTTTAGTGCTGATCTATGCCAATCTAAAAACAATGAACAATACTATTCTTCACCGGTTGAATGAGAAGGCGACAAAGTCAGAATCTGGAAAGGACACGAGACCACGGATGTCAAGTGCTTCTGAAAATGATTCGGTCTTTTCACCAGCATTATTACAGAGCACACGGTCCCTGCGTGGTGCTCAAGTTACAGTTCGGAGAGGTACCGTTTTGTGCTGCTGATGGGAAATTCCAAAAGTTTCAACATCAACACTTTTGATGCACACGGTCGTCCTTGAGGGCCCAATCTAGATAAGATCAAGAGCGAGCGCTGGGATCTTTGCCAAAACGCATGAAAAGATGGGTGATGAGCATATTCCCGCGACGCAGCGACTCCACCATGCGGCCTACCAAAGGTACCTTGATTGTGCTTCTATCCAGTAATGGTTTCTTGTTCCACCTGGAAAGACATTACATTTCAGTGCAGCTTGGACGTTAATATGTAGCCTGAACGAAAACTGGAATTGTACAAAGACATAGCTGTTTCGTATAATTGACATCGATGAAGAGATGATTGCGAAATGACACTTTTTAAAATAGAGAATGAAGCTTACATATCCACATGCCTCGTCACTTTCCCATTCTCAATCTGCAAGGAAACAAAAGCAAAATAGACGTATCATTGACATCACTCATAGGCCATTGGTTTTTTCAATTAATTCAATGCAGAGGCTAGCCGTGTAGGAGGATTGTAGGATAGTTTTTCAGATTCTATCGAGTTTCACTGGGAAGTTCGTGGCAAGGACCAGCAAAAGAGCTCTTCTGAGGAACTGCAGAGTGGGATGGAGTGTAAAGAAGTCATTCGGAACTTAACTGACGTGTGAGGCGAGAGCAATACATTCAACTAAATATAAGGGTCACTCCTCGATAGAAAGACAATTCATAAACGAAAGAGACTATGATAGACCTGCAACTTGATAAGCGATACCACATCAATGGTCTTCCCTCCCAATTTATATCTCTGTAAATTGTCTATTCTGACCTGCGAAACAATGATATAAGAACTCCTTAAGTTGTCAGGGCTTGGCTACTTTAGAATAATTGAAAAACAGAAATATCCGTTAAACAAAAATACAAGATATACTAGAATACCTCGCCAGAGCTAGGAGCGGATTCCTCTACTGTCACACTATACTCCAGCATTTCAGCATCCTTAAAAACCTGCCAAGGACCCCTAAATGTTAATGAATGCCCATCATATCAGCATTTAGATGCTTCTGGTACAGAAGCTGGGGGGTAGTGATAGCCAACAGTAAACAATGCTCAGATTCGCAACTATTTAGCATTCATTTGATGGTAAAGTCTAACCACCTTCGGTATCGAATAGAATGCAGACTTTATCTGCGTTACCCTGCAGAGAAACACCTTCAAAAGATTCAGAAACACATTGACATACACGCACCTGTGATCACAATCTCTGACATCAGAGAGAAAAATAAATAAAAATTAAAAAATTAAAAAATTACAGAACAAGATGCTTCAGTAAAAGCGTGGAATGCTCGCTCAAACAAATTTATGATGGTGAAAGCTGGAGTGAAGTTGAGAACATTAACAATCAACGTGAGGCATTGCATTCTCAATGGACACAGAGACGTACCCCTGAGCTCGCATGAGGGGATCCTCAAACGTGGCCTTCGGATGATATATGTCATAGTCAGCTGAAGTAGCTTTGCAATTATATCTGCTTGCACCAAGCTGCAGATTACTATAGCTAATTCATGCGCATGAATGTATGTTCCGTGTAAAAATACTTGCGCATAACCGTCCCAGCTAGATAAAGGCAATTCAAACAGCAATAGATTCTAAATTTTGCAGGACACCACCCAGGGAAGAAGAATGATAAAGAACTGATCGTGCCGTTTGGGGGAATTGTCACATGAAAAATAGCCACTAATCACTTCTTCAAAAGCTCAAACTCATTTTCAATAGATCGTCAAGCCTTCGTTGCAGTGAAGCAGGAGTCTTAACAAGATTGAATGTCGTGTATCAAGGGACGTCAGCAAATATACAGTGAATTGATCGTAGTCCCACGATGCACACGGAGGCATTTGTGCTCTAAATACAGGCTCAAGAGTCTGAGACTTACAGATTGAGTATATGAGGCAGAATGTCTGCAGCGAATTTTCTGTTCAAAGTATCATTGCTATTCGGGGGAATGGATGCGTTCGTGTCAGGTACTGGCTCTGCGAAAAATTGCCAAAGAGTAACAAAACCAATGAGGTCAATCACTGTAAATTAAGCGCAAAATAGCAAGTGCAAATTCCATCCCCTTACTCTGCGATGTCTCAACCTAATTCTCATACAAATTTCATACGAGTACGAGCCAGGCGCTTTCGATTCTCACGGCGCAACGAACAATCTCGCATCACTGCATTGAAAACCATACAATCCCGTCACGAACAGTAACTCGACGACAAATGCTCATTCTCCACGACATTCCATGTCCACAAGACATGATCAGAATTGAGGGCTCACCAGAAGTTGTGGCAGACATCCTGATAGACGCAGGCAAAACGTTAAACGCAACGGCACCCAACGCGGGAGAGAGTGGCAGAACGTTCTGATGCGAAAATGAGCGCCTCAAGCGAAGGATGCCAGTGAGATGTGTACGACCAAAACCAAGCATGTTCCAACTTCAGTTCTCGCGAATGATGCTCGTGAAGAAGAGTAAACAATCCGCTAAGTAGTTCAGAAGAGTAAACAATCCGCTAAGTAGTTCAGAAGAGTAAACAATCCGCTAAGTAGTTCAGAAGAGTGTTGATTCCACACCCCAGCATGTCGAAAATGAGATGGACTTTGGAGCTTGGAACCTGCTTAGTGGGTCCACAGCATCGCGGGAATTTGACCAGAGACGTGAGCTTGCCCAGATTCCATGAAAGGACGGAAAGTGGGATCGGTAGCGTGGCAAGCTCCTGGCCAAACGACAATGAAGCAGGGCGAGTTCTACGACGTTTCCTGTCTGTGTTAGAAAAACCACGGAAACTTTCATACTTGAATGTATGGCTCTGCCCTGCCTCAAATTAGACTGTGACACACTTTTTCAAATGTGGGTTCTGATGAATCTGTTTCACACTTCAAGACTGACACTGGTCGTAGATGCGAAGATTGTCAGCAGCAGCAGCAGCGCTGCCAATAGTAGCTTAATTCTTGTTTAGATTCCTCTCTGACCTTGTCCTCCGACGCGTATTCCATTTAGGGTTATGAATCAGCAACTGCGTGGATATGCTCTTGAAGTGAAAGTGCCTGGCGCTTAGTTGAGACGACGATATGAGAACGTTTGAGGCATGTGTTTTGGTGTCACTGGAGTGTCTCGAAAGGTCCCAAGCTTCCGCAGTGGCAATGCTTGATTTTACAGAGGAAGGATTGACATTGTCGACCTGCTCGTCCTCCATGGCCACAACTCATCCGCCCCTGATTTGCTTGCCAGGCTCTTTACATCGTGACCACTCAGCACAGATGCAGTATTGTGAAGAACATAACGATTGCGATGTCTCTGATTTACTATTTGATACCCAGCGTGAGCCTGCGACTTTAAGGGCATAAATACTCGTCCTCGAAGAATGTATCAAATTGACGCTGTATTTATCGTGTCGTTCGGACAGAAAACCTTCAATAACAACAGCTTTTTAAATAGGAAATCGAAGAAGCGTGCATACAAAGCGGACAGAAAGACTTGTTGAGTCACCAGCGGCGTATCATGCTATCAGAATGCGAACAGACACGGACGACAGTTGACCGAACCCAAAGACAAACGAAAAAATGCGCCATTTTGGTGAGCTATGCGGTGATTTCATCCGCCGCTGCATTCGGATCTCCAAGGGAATGTCACTAACCACACAGCAGAAGTAATGTGGCAAAGCTCTGACAATACGATCCACCTCCGTCGGCGGAATCATATCGGGTGACAAACGCCGGCACGGCAACAAATGGCCTCGGATACCATTAACTGTGTGACGGTAGGTTTATAGTATGGAACCTTTGAGAATTCATGTCTTGTTCGTGTGAATTGAGAGTTCCATTTTGCCGGTTTTCTCCTCATTTGATATTCAATCCATTTTCACAGTTTTCGTTAGCAATTGACAATGTCTCCGTGGGTGGAAACCTCACTCCTGTAGGTATATGCGCGTCCAACATAGTGGTCTTACATTATTGGGTCCATTTGGCTTGCACACATGCTCCACCGCCTGAGGATCGGGGGGAAATCCACACGACGTCTTGAAGAACGTCAGAATATTCGGGTGGCGCGCGCGCGTGTAGGTGGATGAATAGCCTTTCACTGTTCGAAATGCTTTTGGGATAAATTGTGGGAGATGCAAAAATTCCAGTCCCGCCCTTGGTCAGCTACAGAACTGATGCTTTATTCTATTTGTTGCATCTCGTGTGTGTTCGTTCTCAATTGGGCGAAACGTTTCAGAAATATATCTAATTTTCGCAGTGGCCGATTTTAGAGACCCTGTGGGTGGAAGGCCCGGGTTTCCTGCCTGTGTTTATGGAGGGTTTAGGGTTTTGTGGATCTTCTACTTCTATTTGTCCGGGGTTGGACTTATGTTTCCGAGCATCTCTTTGTAGCTCCATGATGGTATGCCTGCCTAACTCGGATTCTCGTTCTTCATTTTGTCCACTGCTGTAGTTTTTTGTGATCGGCAATCGTATTGTTTACATGTTTTCTTGTGTTACCTGCCTTCGTGTGATGAAGCTCAGCGTTGATGGATCGCTTTTAGAATTACAATACTTGAGATTTGGTGCACTTGCAGTCTGGTCCTACTTCCACGTCCGTGTTCAAGAGCTTTGTAGTGAGAGCGGTTAGAATTTTGTGTTCGAACTTGTTGTGGGGATTGCTTCGTACCAGCAAAGCGATCGTGAGTGTGAGCCGTGTGCAAGTTTATTGAGTCATCTTAGCGGCCGATGAAGTACGTAGCTCAAGTTGTATTTTGGAATGGAAGAGGGAATAATAGCAATGTGCGTGCGTGTTTTAGGTCGAGGACATTGCCTTCACCTGATTATCAAGACAGCTGGTTTGCTACATATGCTTCTGATGAGTTGATCTCGTAGTATATTGTGGCGACACGGATTTTTGGAGGGTTTTTCCCAGTCTCGGATGCCGCAGAAGTTTTGGTTTATGCGATGAAGTTCATCTTCATGTGGTGCTGTTGTTGTGAACTGATTCTTTGACAACATAAAGTTGAGGCGTCTCCGATGAGGTTCGTGCTGCCTCAACATTTTGTTTAGCGTTAGAGTGATAAAAGCCTTGAGTGAGACGACACGAATGTATTTGTTTCCACTACTCATTTTGCTTGGATCGAAATTCATTTCTCTAGATTGAGAAAATAATCCTCGGTGAAAGTCTATCCAGAAACTAAGAACTAGAAACTGGGGCATCATGGACAACGATAGTATGAGAATACAAAGCGAACTATGCATGTTAGGGAGCAGTAATCAGACTGTTTGGGGAGATCAAAACTACCAGTGAGAATGGCGCTTGTAGCACACAGTTATCTAAGCTCCTCTTTTATTTTCTAGTACGGTCTATACAAATATACCCAATACATTATTCAACTTGTCTGATGGTTTAATTACTCGTCTTCTTTCCAACCTTCGGATTTCACTCGATGTGCGCTTGAGCTTCATTAGAAGTCTTTCTATTTGCCGAGCTGAAGGTGGAGGAATACACTTTACGTAACCTTTTTTTAAAATGGAACAACTCAGCAAGTGGGGTGAATGATGCTGTTTACCTTGCAGCTGAGATATAAATATATAAGAAATGTACCAACCGTCTTTCTTTGCTTTATGATTGTGAAGCTGAGACGATCCGCGGGCGCAACCAGAGGGGAGGAATAACGACAGTTTCAATGGAACGAATGTACTTACCACTAGCAAACGCAATGTTGAGGATGCGAAAGGTATGTAATAATCAGCCGTCTGTATACCAGCCAGATCCCTTGTTTACTACGCGAGATACTCACCTGCACCGCAAACTATTACTAGGTATGAGCAATCATTTGTTAAGCAGAGACCAACCACTCAGACCAGTTACTACATTTTCTGAGCCCCCGCTGCTGAATAATATTGTGCAGGACTTCCAGCCGCAACAGACCAGAGATTAGGCTATAATCCATAATTTTTGGAGGTTGCAAGAGTGAAAGCAGGGTCGAATTTCTGTGTTAAGCCGAATATGATCAGTCATGGAACAAGACGGCGCGACTGATGTGGTTGTTCGCAATCGGAACTACAACATCAAACCCGCGAGTGTGGTACTCGATACACAGCCTGCAAGTGAAGAGATTGCTTTTCCTGAGTTCGCGTTCCCAGTAAATGATGGGGGAGCCGCGTTGAATGCATGGAAAGCTGTATCAACTGCAGGTCAAGGGCAATCTGTTCAGACAAGCAATGGTAATTGCAAGTGGGGGTTTCTTCAGTCGGGAAATGGGACTGGTGATGAATCACCAAAGAGGATGCCTCTTGCGTTTCGTTCTAAACATGTAGAGACGACTGTGGAATCAAGTCCGAACTTCCCAGGCCTGGCCACTGAGCCTGCGACGAAACAATGTTTGTCACCATTGGCCACGTTCAAAGACTTGGATCTGACGCATGAGAATGGAAAGGTGGAAATCCTAGAGAAGTCTGGTGGTGACGTTCTCTCAACTCCGACCCGCAAGAGTTTGAGCGTCATTTCTACGGCTGAAAATGACGCGGTAGCTGCGCCTTCTACCCCAAAAGGTAGGGGCCTAAGCCTCATCCCGAGGGTGGCCAGGTTGCAGAGTGATGCGGATAAAACACCAGACCGACTGAAGCCTGTCACACCGAATCTTCAAGGAAAGGCGTCAGTTGGTACAAGGGGTAGCCTCACAAGCCCTAGAGGAGAGGAGCGTGGCCGCGCCCTTTCTCCTGCTCCAGATCGGAGAAGCCTCACAAGCCCAAGACGCACTGTCCCTGACCGCTCCAGATCGCCTGTGCCATTTCGTAACCAGGATCGTAGTAACTATGGCGTCAGCCGCTCCCTATCTCCAGTCCTCACGGGAACCAGAACTGTCACTCCTACAAGACGCCCGACTACACCGCGCTCTACATCACCTGCGCCTCGTTCTCGAGAGGATTCCAATTCTTCAAGGGCACAATGGAACGGGAATACAAAAAAATCCACCTCTATGCCAAGCTCACCCAGGTACATCACTCCCACGAGAGCAGCATCGTTGAAAGCTGTGAACTCGCCTCCATCTCCTAACGGCAGTGTGTCGAAAGAGTTGCAATACCCCACTGCTTCTGGAAGCACGACGCCTCAAAGAGATTTTGCGAAAAGAGGTGTGAAGGAGGCGCACTCGAAGACAGGTGAAGAGGGTCAGCCCACTCCAAAGATCAAGAGCTCTCCTCCAACTCTTACACAGCCCACAGGTTTCAAGTTCAGCACAGATGAAAGGTCAGAGAAACGGCGGGATTTTTATTCCAAGCTTGAGGAAAAGATGAAACTGAAGGAGGAAGAGAGGAAACGGCTCGAAGCGAAAGCGCAGGAAGAAAAGGAGTCACAATTGAGGGAGCTGAGGAAAACTTTGACCTACAAAGCTAATCCCGTGCCAAAATTTTATCAGGAGCCTCCTCCCCCTCCAGTGAAGATTAAGAAAGCACCTACTACGAGGGCGAAATCCCCCAACTTCACTGCTCCTCGACGCAGGGATAGCTGCTCAGGAAGTATTGGTGGCGAGTCTCATAGCCATGGTGGGTCAAGCCCACTGCGTGGTCGCTTGGTGCGGAGTCCATCTCTTGAAAGCAATGTGAGCAGCCAAGCCAAGGTGGCTGCAAAGGTAAAGCAGCCATTCAAACCAATCTAGCCAGACCTCTCTCTTTCTCTTTTGTCAACGGATTTACTTTAGTTTCAGGCCTTGGATCCTTCAAGAATGCTAGATCGGACGTGTCAGATTTTTCCTCCAGAGCTGAAAATATTGCAGTCTGCTCCGACTTCTTCTTTGCAGCTGCCTTCCATCAAGGGGAGAAGTACTGTGTTCCATCCATTTGCTTTTACTTTTATTTTTGTAAAGGTCGTTTTTGTAGCACCATTGAGTGATGTCACGTGTTCCATTCCTCCGAAGGTTGGATTAATCATCTTGGATCACCAAATTCGTTTCTCTGGGGATATTCACAGTAACATGCCACGGAGGGTTGTACATCCCGATCAAAGACACTTAGAGAACCTATGAAAGACGGAACAGAAGCACTATAATCCTCAACTTGATGACGTTCAAACAAGTAATTTCTTGTAAATTCCAGCTTCTTGTGAATATCTACATTTTCGAATCCCTTGACCGAAAGAGTGGTTTGGGACGGGAGACGAACAAGTCTGTTGCCATGAACATTCAGATATTCTCACCTACATTCAACATAAAGCGAGCAAGTCACAAATTCCCATTCGTAATCCCCAATTTCGAAACATTGTTAACACCTGGTTCAACACGCCAGAGAGCACGCCCGAGCTTCATTTACGTACAAGTACTGTGTTGCTACTTGATCGCAACAAGCAGACCCGATACATGAAACGGGAGTAATCCAATTGTCTGCCATCCTTTTCTGCTCCTTACTATGTATTGTCAAACAACCTGAAAAGCACAGTTATGTCGATAGATACCACTCTCTACTCTTACTGGAGCAATAAGACATACAACAACACATTCGTCCTAATCTGCACCACGATGCACGCAATTCAAAAACTATCTTTAAAAACCACACACCACAAAGCTCACAATTCACCATGAGCATTACATTCCACAGGTTTTTGTTTGCTTATCATGTGACCGGTCAAGTTCGGAGGATGAATCCGATGAGTCGATAAGGCACTCACTCACTGCTGGTACAATTCTTATTTTTGCAACCCAGCATGAAAACATGCGAAGTGAACCAACCCAGGTGATAAAAAAAACGACAACATCACGCACCTCGAATGCTCCTGAGCTTCACATCGATGACAAAGTCAGTGATGAACTCGGTCTTCTTCATCGGATCCGGATTTCGCAATCTGGCAGTGCGCAATCAAAGCTGTGGCAGATGCGCCTTGTTGATCTGAATTACCCAAAAACCGCCGACAACTCTGGAGGGAGGGAGCGCTAATTTAGTTTCATCTAAATGGTAGATGGCGCCCACTTGTCAGTCTAAATTTGTCCCTCACTAATTATACCAAAATTGGATGTGGATGGGAAAACAACGATGGACCCGAGAACTCTTCTTCTTGCAATTCTATCGTCAAGTGATACATTTCATGAAGAAAATGAGTTCCAAATAATAATCTCGTTTTTGTGTTGATGTTTTATCTTTGCAATTGTTCTTCCATGAATGATTCTAGTTCCTTTACGAAATTTGACTAACACTTAACACTTACTATGAATGTAGGTTACATTAATTTTTAATATTTTGTAAAAAAATGGTTTTTGATGAGTAACTTCCCTAAAATGTTGTTTTTATAGCAATTTTTACAATTGAGATTTGGTGAGGAGTTATTGAAAAAAGGGTAGTATGGTATGAGATTTCATTGTGTCTATTATTCTAAATATGTTGGTTTGTATCTTGATTCTAACAATTTTATAGAGTATGCACATTGATTTTTTTTATTAGTTAATTTTTTTTTTGATATTGCTTATTAAAATTTTATAAAAGCCACCTCTTTGAGGTATGCCTACAACAAATTTTTGGGTGCAAAATTATTTGTGCCATGTAGCAAAAACATTATTAGAAAAATTAAAAAAAAAAAAAAAAAAAAAAAAAAAATACTTCATCTTTCTTTTTATGATCCTTTGATTAACTTTTTTAAACATAAATCAAACCAAATCATACTTCTTAATCAACAGCTTTTAAAGTCGTGCCCTCTTCCTTTCTCTATGTATAAAATCATCCTATTATTCAAGAAGGTTTGCAAGAGAGAAGATTTATAAATAATAATAATAATAATAATAACAACTGATAGGATTAAGGATGGTTGGGTTTTTTGAACCTTTAATAGTTAACTTTAATTGATGTTTAAATTTTTAATAGAATGTCACATAAGTTTCTAAAATATTATTTTTATTAATAATATAGAATTATATATATAAAAAAAATTTTTGAGGATTATTAATTAAACAAAAAAAAAAATCAAATAATTGAATTCTTTTGAAATCATTTCTTTGAACAATGAGAAAGATATGGAAAAAGATTTTTTTTTTTTTTTTTTTTTTTTTTTCATGCCTATATCTACATCTTTACAAAAAGTGTTATAAAATTAATGATACTAGAAACTAGTACTTTATAGCTTTCATAAATTATACATATACATACAAACAAATTGTATATATATATATATATATATATATATATATACTCTTGTGACATTCTTTAATTTTTTTGGAAAAATTCAAAATCTTAATTAATTAAAATATTTGATAAACAAACACATAATTTAAAAACAAATTTTTTAGTACATTTTGCTATAGGATTTAGATCAAATACAATTGATCTTAGAAAATATTAACAAAATTTCATTCATATTTATTCTAAAACTCTAATATTTCACTCTAACATTAAGTGAAAATAAATCAAGAAAAGTCTTTTTTATTTCAAGTAATAAGATTAAAATCCAAAATAAATATATTTTTCCATTAATATATTGAAATTGAAATTGAATGCTATGTAATAATAATACTATTACCTATCATAATTAGCATGCTTGAAGCTTAATTTATTATTTGTTTTTTTTAAAGATCATCAAAGATGTATATTTCTAAAAATAAATGAATAAATAAATATTTGTAAAAAACGAATTTTGTAAATAAAAATAATATTATTATACAATTATTTCAGCTTTATTACTTAGCATTCAATTTATGTACATTATACTAAACTTCCTAATATTTTCAAAAAATACTTACAGTTTTCTTACATAATTTTAATTGACGAGTTGGGTTGTGAGTTGCCTGTTAATATGATAAGATTTACATAAACTTGCTCTTGTTGAACTTGGACAAGTTTTTTTGAAACATGTAAAAAAGTAAAATATATAAAATTCTCACCCACACATGCTATCTTCCATTTGCAAATATCAAAGCAATGCCTGCAAAACTAAATGCAGTTGAATACCTTCATGTTCACCTTCAATCTTGATATCTCTCATCGCAACATCACCAACCACCAAAATTACAGTTCAGATATAAATGAGTAGATTGCACTATTTAGGTGCTGCATGGGAAATGTTGCGACCTGAATTCATGTAGTCAACAGCACACAATACCAAGTAACAATCAATACGTGAGAATAGATCCTGAGGACTATGAACATCTCAAATGCAATACCGGTAAACCTGCCTGTTCAAAACCTTCGGAAAGATATCATATGTCATCGTCTTTCACCAACTGATGGTTTCCGAAAGACGACATGCAAAATTAGTGGAGATGGTTCCACTAATTAGCACAAACTAGAGACAGCAAGAATCAGCATCACAATGCTATCAATGAAAAATAGTAAGAGATGCAACAGAAAGAACTCAGTTTTTAAGAACACCACCCTTTCCGAGCAAGGAAGAGCATGATGTGGTAGTCAACAATTATCGTCTGCCGAAACACAATGGATGCACAAGGGCGAATCTCTACTTTAAAATTACATTATTAGTGGTCATAAAATTCGGTTCCATCAAGGAAAAGAGAGCAACATTTCTTGCCTTCGTGTGATGGAATATTCACCTCAACTGTCAGATCTGTGTGCAGAGACACAAAGGCCTTCCAGTTTCGAGGAAGGGGTGGGACCATAGTACGAGGTGGAGGTCAGCCTAAACTTGCTCATCCTTATCTAAGTCGATGATGTTCAATAACGGGGAGTAATATTCACAGCATGGATAAAACCGACCCTCCTGAATAAATGAGGAAATCTAATGTGCAGAAAGAGAAATAAAAACGAGGCGAGCCGCCAGAGCTAACGAAGCGCGTCTTGTGTTTCCTAGTCTAGAGAAATGCCGAGATGGGTGACGTCCCCATCGCAACATGCAGGATTCATACTTCGAATCATAAACGACAGGCGTTAGAGTGAGAGGTTCTCATGTCACGAGGCTGCTACCAACAAGGTCGGCTCCACTGACACAGGCACGACTTGCGAGCCGTGGACGACGTTCTGCTCTCCTGATGCTCCGAACTGCCAGGGGTCGAACGCCATGGACCGAAACTGATCGACGTTCACCGTGTGGCCTGCAGGACTCGACTCCACGCGTTTGTGGTACTTGCCGTTGAACTCGTAGACTTCAAGCTCCCCCCATGGAGTTGGGGCAATCTCACCGGACATTTTGAACCAGCGGGGCACGAATTCTTGTCTCTTCTGTTCTCTGAGCTTCTTCTCCGCTCTTTGCCTCTCCTCTAGCCTGAACAGAACCAAACCACCGGATTCACGTGAAAAAAATTGTTATGTTGAGTTGGAAGAGTAGTAAGCTAAGATTGTAATGGCCCAAATCTGATATATTCATACATTATCATTTCGGACATCGAAACCTATGATGCGAGAAGTTGATGTTTTCAGAGACGATCATCTTTTAGCTACTAGTCCAAGAACGTCTAGGCAAACTTTGTGTTTTCCTTCCCGTTCAATGCATTCCAACATCAGGTCCATATCAACCAGCCACCGGGTGGTAGTGTGAAAAATACCTGGATTTCTCAAAGCCAGCGCTGCTGACATCACCCCTTTCTAATGCATATCGATCTGGTCGCAGACGAGAATCAGATGCGAGAAGTGTAGGTGGGGCAGAGTCGAAACTATTGATAGTATGAGCAAAATGCGTGTACTGGTATTTGTCACCCTTCGGGACATCAGCTACCCTCCAAATCTGCGCAAACGTAAACAACCAACCTCCATTCTTATCAACATGAAGGATGTCAAGAATTATCCAAAGCTCCTGGACCAATGTTTTCATGGACCACATTTCTCTTCCAGTTTCAGATGAAAGTTCGGAGAGCAAAGAGAAGCGGGTGACATAGAAACACCTACCTCCTTCAGTTGAGCCCTCTCAACTGGTTCACCGTCGGCGTTGCATGGCTGGTAGCTCATGGATTTAGCCCAATTTCCTGTCATAATCATCTTGGGTTGCCCATCCTTGCTGTAAACAAACCCGTCGATGTCGTTGCGTCCCCTCCTGTAGGATAATCCCCCACGCATGTCAGTCAGAATTAAATATAGATTCATAACAACTCTTGCAACCAACAGGTGAGCTTGAAAGCGTCATTACGCGAGGTCAAATCCATGAACTTCGGTAAAATCATTTGAAGGTCTATGAATGCCAGTTGAGTGAGAAGGCCAACCCTTGAGATTTTCCCTTCCGCCTTCCAAATGATAGCGCGCGTCCAAGCCTCTTCCTGCATTAAGGACCGGGAGCATTACGCATTGAAGAAAAAGGAGCATGTTTAGAGACATGCTGCAGAACTACATTTGACCGCACTAAAGAGTCGCACTGTTGCATCGAAACACAAATGAAATGATAAGGGAAAAAAAACGCTTCGAGGGTGGTGGCGACGAAGACAATTACCCGAACCAATTACATGGATGAAAGTAAAGCACAACTTTCTCCCCTGTTGTGAGATTTGTCATGACCATGTCGCCTGGGGAATCTACCCAAGTTCGTCCAAAAAGCACGTTGTGCACTTTGGTCGGCGGAGGCACCAAATCAAGCACCATGTTGGATTTTTTCAGCAACACTCTTGTCCTGCGCGATCATATACCCACAATTATAAGATAAAACATCAACCGCGGCCTACTAGAAAGAGACATTGGTGCCGCCAAAAACCTCTAAAAGGACACTCACTCTATAATCAGAATAAGAAAATTCACTGACTCCGATGAAGCTCTGCCCAATGTCATCAACCAAGGGGAAGGCAATACAGATTGTTACAAATCCTTCTCTGGGATACTGCCAAAATTTGAAATGACCGGACTAACGAGTCACGCTGCATATTATCGTATTAGTCATAAGGGAGCACTCAAACTGGGATACACTTGCCTTCCAAGAGGGAACACATCCACCGAATTTCCAAGAAACTTGGTCTTCAATTTTGAAGTAACATCGTAGCTGAAGTGCTCATTCTCCGCATGAGCAGTTCCCATTGGTGGGTGGTGGCTCACCTGAGAAACCAAGGCAGGCATTGAAGAATTGATATAACCTGTATTCTCAGTCGGAACTCGGATGTAATGACAGACCAGCAATATTGAGACCCTCATTGCGACACATTTCTATGGAGACCTTGCACTTGCAAATCTGGATTCTGAGATGTAGGAAAATGAGTCCCAGCACTTATTCGAGCGGATTATCATTTTAAGAAAAAACTAGGACGATACAGATTTGGATATCGCTTCCAATTCAGAATTTTATTCCCTTTTTATTCATTTTCATTTTTAATCCATAACAACGAAAGAGTTGCGTAATGTGATTCTGTCTAGTGTTCTTTGTTTGCGAGCTTACGAACAGCTTTTGAACTCACCTGCTCTGCCAAGAACGTGAGGCCATTCTTGTCGACCATCTCATAGGTCTCACCGAGAATGGGATTGAAAGGCTTCCAGGTCCGCGCATATGCGAAGTACACCGATACTGCCCATGTAGCTGCAAATGAGGCGACAATAGTGTAAGAACAGTAGCCGCCACTGCTTGTAAAACGGTACTTCCTTACAAACATAAGCAAGAGATACACTGACGAAGTGATCGAGTTAAAGGCCGAATATTTCAGAGGACGGAGGTAGATTTTGATCCCGCTCAAAGGCCAAAAGCAACAGGCTCTTTTCAATCGAAGGCTCGCATCTCTAAATCGTTCTACTTTGAAGAGAGTAGCGTTTTCTTACAGGCATAGACCAACTTCATCGAAGAATCTTCACATTGGTCAGCCTTATCAAGAAGGTATGAATATTCCATTATCTGCATACCGACGGAGGAAAAAAAGTGGTTATTCCATAGATAAGTACACACGCCATTCCAAGTGTTTTCAAATGTAAAGATAATTGTTGGTGATAAAAAGGTGATCTCAATGATCCCATCAAAATCTCTAATTTATGTGCAGCACAACCTCCGTTAATGAGATCCATTGGAAAGAATCACAATACAAGAATATAAAGCTTGTAGGATAACACAGAAGCATATTAGATTTTTCGAAGAGGGCTATAGGAAAATAACTGCTGAGCAAGGATTGACACTTTCACAGATATCAATGAACTGGATTGGACTGTAACCCAATTTGACATCTTAGATACGTTTAAAGGAAGACATTAGGTATTGCAAGGAAGACAAGTGCCAGAGGAAACGCAATGTGAACATAACTCAGCGGCTCCCCAAAAAAATTTAGTTGCATGCGCGAAGATACCAGTGAAGAAATAGACGAGATTGTGGTTTAAGTTTAGAATTACTAAGCATCAGGCAGCTTTAGAGACTCTAAAGCTTCGATATTGTGATGTGTCAGAGAAGTTGATTTGTAAGTAACTAACCTCAGCCATCTTCTGTAGCATGGACATAGGCTCAAATATTGTAACTGGCAGGGTAATCAAAGACGATACATCAGATCCAATATAATTGTGAACCTGTGTCCAAAGGCTTTCCCGCTCCTGCCAGAAATATTCAGGAAATGGGAGGATTAAGAGCGTCAAGATCTAAGAGGAAAAAAACCGATGAAGCATGAGATACCAATAGAAGCAGGCATTGGGCTTATGTGTCCCAAACCGCTCAACAACTAAGCTTGTCTTCAAATGGAGGACCTCTGACACATAACAAACGCTGCTAATCAGAGTTCCTGAATACGTAGCTAGCAGTTTCGAACCCACCTCCACCTTGAACCTGGATGCAGTCTCATCCTGCTCAACGTTACTTCCGTCCGGGTTGACGACCTCCGAGTGCTCAGTTGCGATGTAGCTGCAAGTGGAAGGCACAGTAGCTGGCGTCAATAACCAACTCAATATCCTATACTATGAGCAGAGTGCGTATATCTAAGAATGCATTACATCAACGTGTATTGTGAGGCATCACAAGGGTCGCTCAATTTCAAACTGGGGACAAAAAAAAAAACAGGCACAGCTTCTGCGTGCCTTCGCTATGTAGAACTACAACGAAGCCAGGGGTGAAAGGAAACAGAGTTCTCCAGACAGATATCAATTCGAGCCTTACAGTGGAGGAATAAGGTTGCATTAATTCATTAAATACTTGGTGGAACAAGTAATTGGGATTAAATTTGAACCAAGGCAGTGGGGCATCGAAGGCTGGCCAATATGGACAATGTTCCTGAAACTTAAGGACTCACAAGGGCGACTTTAGCTGGCATGCTGTTGCTTCTAACTTTTAAACTAGCTGGTCATGATACGAACACAATATAATCATTCCAAGAGCCATTTAGCTCAACAAAGACATGAATACAATAGAAAGGTCAAGGCCAGCTTATATTCAAACATCTATCTCACGAAACGAGATTGCTTGAGTCAGTTCTTCCATAATTGACTCACGATTTCATATTCACTTCTCTGACAAGATTGTTTTAGTGACGTCTGCAAAAAATGCATATATCAGCTGAAACTGAGCACGAAATCAGGGGCAGAATTATGTTCTTTTCATTCATTAAACACACGTCAACATGTACACTCAGCAATGTGGCAGAACCACGAACGAGCACATCCACTCTAGAATTTCATACACGTCTAAAGTGTGCAATAACAAAAACAGTTGCAAGATTATTAACGAGAGAGAGAGAGAGAGAGAGAAGACTTTCTAAACATAAAAAAAAACCTTTGGACCCGAAATGGAATGCATAAAAATTCAAAAAATTCAAAAAAAAAAAAAAAAAAAAAAAAACGACACCAAGTGTAAATAACATGATACACGTTCTTCTTTCTCGTACAATGATGTGTTAGGCCTACAGATGGACAGTGTGACCGCTCGAACCTCGCAGACGCAAATGCAGGCTAGCAGAAAGCTCTAACAAGCAAGCAAAGAAACGGCAGTGTCACACACTCAATCTCTATCCCCCATGTAGTGTGGCAGTAGTGTACAAGTCGTAGCAGTTGAGACAAGATGAACTGGCCATGAAAGGATGAAAATCAAACAAAGAGTTCACAATGGAGGCATCACGAGGCGGACACGATGCTGATCTAGTCATATTGTCCTGATAAAACATTGCGCTCCAGTTTGCATTCCTCGGAATTTGACTGCAGGATAGCAGCTTGCAGCTACATAATTCAACCCTTCCACTTGAAAAGTCTAACTACCAAGCATTTGAAACACTCTTCATCGAAGTAACCTCTTAGTAAGAGCCCCATCTGGAAAACAAACTGAATACAGACTAACTGCGACGTGAGAGTGCATTATACCTGCGGACTTTGCTGCGACAGTTGGATATACCAGACGATATTGACGACAAAAGTCCCCCCGGCTTCACCACAGTACTCATGGCTTCGCTGTGCTCACAACTGTCTGCGCCCACCCTGCGCGACCAGCCCTTGTCCGAAGATGTTCACCAAGGCATCCACCCGAAGAAAAAGAAAAAGAAAAAAAAAAGGGTTCGAAATTCTCTCTATACTACAAACCACTGCAACTACTACCCTCCAGCACGCCCTCACGTTCTAGAAGCTGCAGTCCACTCCCTGCGAGCAGACCCCGGTGCGCCAGAACTCGTAACGATCCTAGCTCTACGTTTGCAGCAGCTGGATGCTGCAGAGTAAACACTAGATCGGAGCATATCCAGACTGTGTCATCTATCTATCAAAGTCTGACAAAAGAGAAGTCCCGACACTAGGACAGTTCCTTCGCACACATCAAAGGATATGCGACTAATGCGCCTTGGTGTAGAATGCGACCTAGGAGAGCCTGACCAAGGTTCATTAGTTGGCGGACAGCAGCGTCCCTAGGATTCGACCACAACGGACGAGCATTTCGCCCGCCTGATATGGAGGCGGCAACCTCTGTTCCCAGTGTGCGGGTGCCTGTCCTCCCTCGTCCAACAGTAGTCCCTGTCGTCCAGCTAGAAAGCTTAACTTATCACCCTCTGCCAATCTTCACTCGTCACCCAACGTGAGTCGGCGTTTTCATTCTCCACCCTAGCAAACAGGGTCGGCGGCCGCAGGTCTTCGGCAGAACTTGTCTCTATCTTCGCCGTCCACCTCAACTACACTCCCGTCTGCTGGTCAGGGGCTCATTAATAAGCGGGGGGGGGAGTCCATTTTTATTTTTCTATTTTTTGTCCTCCACGTGGATGTGTAGTGTGTGAAAACGTATACTGCCCCCTTCGATGGTTAGGCAAGGATATGTTGTGTCGTGGCCAGCTGACCGAACATGCTGCCTGACCAGTTATAAGAACATCTTTAACCCACAAGTACAGGGACAGGACTTGAATGCCACAATAATAAACTAACGAGTGCAACAAAGGGACCACTTGCTCCTAATGCTAGCAATGCAAGCTTGTGATTGATTGTTGAATAATGTTACAAAGCAGTGATGTCTGGACAAAGGGGCTGACATAGCATTCACCTTGCGAATGGCAGGCGCCAGCGACTCATGAGCAGCTGATTCACACAAAAATCCTCACCCCTGCGCGAATCCAATAATACGTCCACCAGGACCAGTAACAGTAACTACAGGAAGAAGAATTGTAATTTATTGATGATCGATGGGCGCCAAGTGTGGGGACCCGGGGGGAATGGAATTTATTACTGAGGGTAGGGACGGGGGGTAAAGGTAGTGCGGCCCTGCGGAGTGAAGCCGCGCCTATTTCCAGCTTCTGTTGCCAGCTTCCGTTGAAGCTTTTTGGGCGTTGGTGCTGGTAACTTACTTCACCTGACAAGGCGGTGGTTCGGCTTCTGGAGTCATGAGTCATGACTGTTGTCCGAAGAGGTGCAGTGATGGGGGCAGCGGGAGGAGAAGCTGGAGTCAAGCGAAGCTGAGCCCGACACACATGCCCCGCATCAACTCCATTGCAACCAGATCGCCTCCTGCTGCTGCAACTACCTCCTGCAGTGGCGCAGGAATCACATACCACACCTCGCTCTCGCTCTCGGCAGTATGTTACACATCCCACGGCTGGCACTCATGCTGGCTTTCCGATGAGGAGCGAGGGAGAGTGCGAGTGCGGAAGTGCCAGTCTGCTCCTTCTCCGCTTCTCTATCCCTTTCATGGGCAGTCGGTCTCGATGCTCCCATCTCAGTTCTCTTGTGCCACAAAATAACACACGCAAGCGAACACACAAGCACACAGACACACCCAAAATGACATGCAGAAAACATACAGAAAATTGATCTGTTACTTACCGGAGTTGAAAAAAGTGTGCTGTTCCAAAGCGAACTTGTTACATCTGATTTTTCAAGTCCGGGTTGTGTTGTATATGTAAATAACAGTAACAATAATGGATACAGTTAAAAATCCACTGTACGAATTTTTTTTATCAAATTATATTCATGCTGGTTTTCAATGATGAAGGTTTCTATGCATAAATAAGTGAGTAGTAGAAATTGTGGTTACACATTGCAAATTTTTCATTTCTTTTTTCTAGGTTTTGTTAAATTGTAATGAGATGATTTACATTATGCATAATTGTATGTACAAGCACAATATAATTGAAATTGATTCTTTTTCAACTTAAAATTTTACTCTTTTTTATTTTAAAAGATTTTTGAAGTCTATTTTTGTGCCAATTGATGATGAGATGAAAAATGCCTTTATTATTTTTTTAACATAAAATTGATTTACACGATTATTAAAATATTTTTTATTCCTCTACTAACATATAAAATAAATATTGAGGTGTTTTCTTTGAAGTTTTTTTATCTTTATTATAGTATTAAGAGGGATTTTTGTCCATTGCTATATTTATAAGAACATGATCAATTGTGAGATGATAAAAACTTGTGAATGTTTCTATGTGGTGATTTGATCAAATGGTCTAATGCTTAGATTTTAACTTTTGTTCAGAAAGGTATGGATTCATGTCCCATAACCATCACAAAGTCTTTTTACACAAAATCTATCTAGGTATTTTGGAAAGGGATGAATCCCAAAACTAGTGAACAACCATGAAGTGAAAACAATGATGAAAAAAAAAAAAAAAAAAAAAAAAAAACAGATATAACTGTGTTTGAGTTCAACTTGCTTCAATATATATATATATATATATATATATATCAATTACTCTACATTCTACTTCATTTCATGTGTTGTATTTTTTGTTTAACATACTATTCAAAACGTGTTCATCTAAATAATTATTTTTTAATATTGATTCTTTAAATTAAAAAAATGAAGAGGTAACTCAAAGTGATCTACTTAAAACCACATTTATTTGATTCATGAAATTATCAATTTATAGCATTTATTCTTTCTTTCTTCTTTCCTTCAATGCATGACAAGATTCCAAATTCATTTACTAGTACATATAATATAATAAGGTCCAAAGATGTTTTTGTTTCTTTAAATTTATGCAATTGTCCAAAATATTAAAAGCAATATGCATACCTTTTTATTTGATTGTGCATATATATATATATATATATATATATATTCATGCAAAGTTCAATCAAAATTTGTAGTTTGTGATAAATAAAGAAACATATGCTGCATCATGTTTGATTGGTGCATTGCGGATTCAAACAGTGTATTTTTGTCTTGTGCATAAACATTATTAAAATTTCATGATATCAGATGAATTATTATCAAAAGCAAAATGTCATGTCGGAACCACGCTCTCCAAAAGACGTGTAAATTCACTTAGGAACGTTCTGCATTGAACGCATGCATTCAGATTTCATGACATCAATCAATTACTACAAAAAGAAAAAAAAAAAACAAAAACAAAACAAAACTCAACGTTCATGGATCAAATGCTAAAGTAAAGAAGAAAAGAAAAAAAGACATACATATATATATATATATATATTCTCACACACAGTTCCGTATGGGTCTTTAAAATTCAACAAACTCGATAGGATCTGTCACTGTGCAGAGAACCTCGTAGACAAACATGCCACCATTGAAGAGTGCACATTCTTGCCCAAGTTGGGGAATAAAAAGTCTGCAAAAAGCCACTCCTCCAAAAAAGAATGACGACAACAACAACAACAACAGCAAAAGGAATGTATTATTATCAATAAAAAACGAGGACATGGAAGAGCAGCGCAGCGCAGAAGTGAAAAGAGAGTAGTCGACAAGGGAATCGGGAAACAGTGTGGGCGTTGATGTGGTGGTTGCGATGGAGGGTGAGTTTTGTTGTCATGTGCGTGATTCCTTTATGCCTGCCCACCGTGCCACTACTCCGCCTCCTTTTAGCTTCCCTTTGCTACTTGAAATGGCTCTTCCAGGGGTGAATCATTTCATGTGCCGACGAGGGAAGAGTCACAGCCTCGCACCCAGCCAGATCCATCGCAAGCGATGTAGACATCGGCGCTTTGTCGGGTGAAGACTCACTCGCCGTGCATACGCCGAAGGCCAGGTTGGATCGACGATGCTCCAGCTTGGATCCAGATCAACGCCCCCCCACTTCCCCACCCCACTCGGAAAGACAGGGTCCCCCACCACTACGCTCACTTTGTGGCTATCCCTTGGCTTCGACCACCCCGTTCTGTAAAAGAGAGACATCGTAGAAAGATGCGGAAGGCGGGCCTTTCATTCGAGGCAGGTCGTGCTTCTTTCACAACAGAGTGGGACTGAGATTATGGCTGTGCGAGACTGGAAGCACAGCTCGACATGGGTCCACGAGAGCGTTGCCGGATGGCGGGCAGGGAGGGCAGGGCAGCCGTGTGCTCGAAAGCCGTGAGATTGTGCGGCTTCGAACATGTGGGTGGCCAAGTTCTCTTTGTCGATCCGCCACCGACAAGCTCTCTCCCTTCTGCAGTAATTGGCAAAAGTGGTTGTTAGCTTGAAGGATGCCGTGAAATAACTAGCTTCGCTCAGAAACAAGCTGAGGATGAGAGAGCAAGAGCTTCATGGCACATGGTTGCTCATAGTTGCTTGTCCTCAGATTCATGAGGGTGGATGGGAATATGGGTAGTAAGCATGGAGTTGGGGCTCCACCGTGACGCTTGCCTACCCTTGGTTCGTAAAACGTGGATGGCGTGATGTGGTTCTTCAATGCCGTGACAGTGTCAGCCAGTGGCGAAGAGGCTTGAGATTTTTGCTGAATTTGAGTAGTTCTGCCATTGTTGCTAATCCGCGTCTGGCCACGCGTTAGGACAGGAGGCGCGCGAAGGGCATGGTCAAGGGTTAGTGCCGATCGGCCCTAATACTACCTTTTCTAAGCATCACTGGCGAGCGCGAAGAAAGGGAAGTTTGTAGCGATGTCATGTGCCGATACAGTTTAAAGTCCAGGATACACGGCCAGCGACCACTTCTGACCGAAGCATAATCCCCGGATGAAAAGTCGTGGGGTTTGGAGACAATCAAAATCCTCCATCTGCGAGATTTCTTGATATCCATGAGACCTTATCAAACATCATACTGCCTTTTTTCGACCCACATGTCCAAAGATGGTCAGCGCTAGCACCCGCTTCGGTTTCCATCAATCGAAAGACGAGAGTACCAACCTCGCAACTCCGATTGTGTGACGATTGTTTACTGGTCTTACACAATCAGGCATATGTGGTACCTCAGGTCAAGGACCGAAACTATCATTCCGCTCGTCTTAGAAAGTCATTATTTTATTTGCCGTTGATGAGCTGATGTATAATCTGTACTTTGTAACGGGCAACCATTAACAAGAGGAATATGAATAGTGTGATCAAACATATAGTGTTATTAATATTTATCAACGGATTTCATGGTTTGTATGTAAGTTGCCACAGAAGATTAATCAGTGCGTATACATGACTGGTGAATCCGAGGGTCCTCGGGACCTGAAGTACCCATATTCTATTTCTCGTTTTCCTGAGAAATAGTTGCAATGGACGGATATTAATGGAGTGATGGAAAAGACCCTGTGGTAGGATCACAGGAAACTGATACAGTAAACCTCTTCCCCTTCACGGTCCAGAGAACCATCACGTTCAGTTCTATGCTGTTTGTCATGGCTCCATACCTGAAACATGACACGGACATGGCCACAAATGCGTTCTGGCACAGCTTCCATTGATTCTCACTGAGTGTCCTCGCACTTCACCTAACATGCGTTCAAACTTCTGTCAGAAACCTACAGGGTTAAAATCTACAGAATCTTACATCCGACACCCAAGAAGCTTGCTCACAGTGTCCAGAAAACTTGGGATGGTTGTAGTACACAAGAAATGAGGTAACTAAACATCAGGAGAATTAAAGCCGCACATGACCAATATTCTTCGGGTTTTGTGGAATATGATCAAGATATGATCTTCCTCCAACATCAGTCTATTCAAGAATCGAAGTTACCCGAGCCCATCGGATGGAACTCCACAAGAGCTCAGGAATGGAATTGTTGGAATGGCGCCACAGACACTGGTCGACAATTAGCGCTTACAGTGATAATTCAGCACCCGTATTGCATGGTCCTTGGCAAAGCAGAGAGGAAGAAGTTGCAAGGCAAATCAAGCCTGTTAGAAAGTAAGTAGGCAATGGCCATCCTGCGAAGATCGCCCTAAAACCAAATCGAGACGGACTTATCAAAGAGCATAAACCATGAAATTTTCAAGTTGCCGCGGAGCAGAAGTCACAGCTCGAGCTTGCATTGATACAACGTCATGCTCCTCTCACTACATGAAGAGCTCTGGATATACCAAGATGGAAAACTTTAGCATGAGTTCTGCTACGTTACGGTAGTTTACGCATATATGAAACGGTTACTACAACTAGTCTAGGACCATAAAAGCATGAATGCAATCGACCCCACGTTTGGGTAATAAGTCCAGATGTGTGAATCTAAAAAATCTTAAATGATACTCTCGCAACTGAAGCACTGCATAGCAATCTGCCCACGGTCCCAATTTTGCCATTTGGATTAAAAATAGAGGACGTTTTGACCCCAAAACGTATGGTTACATCATGTGCAGAATGCTACTAATATTCAAATCGGTCGCCGAAGTTGCATCCACGCGATCTTCTCCACATGGCATCGTCTCTCTCAGTCACCGAATTCACATTCGGCAACTTGATTTCCGCGGACATGATAAGCGAAAATTTAGCTCTGTTTCTGAGTTTACATCAGTGAGCAAAAGGCGCTCCTCTGCAGTCACCGCCTCCGTCACAGCTTCCACGTTGAATGAATGGGTTGATGAATAGCTATAGAAACGGTTCTTTGCCTGGTTATCACATATTTCCTCAGATAGTGAATCGGTGGTGTGGGTACCGGGTGTTTCAACCTGGGTCGGTTCTAGTCAGAACCTCGCATTGAACCCTAAACCCTGAATTTGCATTGATTCGTTCGACTGGAATGTTGTGAAACTGGTGCTGACCTCGCCTCATTGCAGCGTCAGTCGCGGCGATGGCGCGGGTCACAGCCCGTCTCCTGGCTCTTGTACGCTCATCCGTTTCTGTTGCTCCCTGCCTCCCTGATCCTGCACTCTCGTCCTCCCTTTGGTCGTCCGGCTCTCGCTATTCCATCCGCCCCTGCTTTGACTTTACCCCTTATGGCCTCCTTAGGCGGCACCTCGCGGGTCTTGCAAGCCCCGTGGAGACGCGAGAGCAATCATGGCGGGAGAACATGGAGAAGATCCGAAACATAGGAATCTCGGCGCATATTGATTCCGGGAAAACGACGCTCACGGAGCGGGTGTTGTTTTACACCGGAAGGATTCATGAGATTCATGAGGTGCGCGGAAAGGATGGAGTTGGGGCGAAGATGGATTCCATGGATTTGGAGCGAGAAAAGGGAATTACCATTCAATCTGCTGCTACACACTGTACTTGGGGTGACAATCAGGTTCGTGTCATTTTTCTGCGCATAAGAGAGTGATGGTTTTAAAAGCTCAGCACGAGTGACAAACAAAAAAACTGATGGGTAGGGTAAATAACACAACCTAGCGCATTTTTGTTGCTCCGATCGGTGCATCTCAGTCATCTAAAATATCGCTCAATTAAAACCTCAGGATTCCAGGGTTTTGCGAGATATTCTACTTAGTTGCTCTGAACACATATCGGTGGAGCGCTTGGAGTCCGTTATGTGGTTACTGGAGATTTATGCCCACTTGTCATAGCAAATCCTGTTTTATGCCAGATGGAGACTTAAATTTGGATAATGCAAAATTGCATGAACTTAATATCACGATGAAGACACTAGTTATTGACCTTCTCGCACGATCCATGTTAATTTCTCACGTGCCCATGCCTTTTTTCATTGAATAGCATAGTCCACTGATCGACTGGTGTTCTCTGTATGCTGGTGGAACAGATCAATATTATTGACACGCCAGGTCACGTTGATTTTACCATTGAGGTTGAAAGGGCTCTTCGCGTGCTTGATGGAGCAGTACTTGTGCTTTGTAGTGTTGGAGGTGTGCAAAGTCAGTCCATAACAGTGGATCGGCAAATGAGGCGATACAACGTGCCACGCGTTGCCTTCATCAATAAGTTGGATCGATCGGGAGCAGATCCTTGGAAAGTTATTGATCAGGTGATTGGCCTTAACTAACTGGATCTTAACCATTCCCTGTTTGTCCTCTTCAAGGATTGTCAAGCCATCCAAAGAATCTGGTATTCTATTGAGCAACTATCATGTTTAGTCCTTTGGAATCCATGCTAATATTGTTGGTGTTTATGGGTGTGCAGGTGAGGAAAAAGCTGAAACACAATTGTGCAGCTGTTCAGTTTCCCATCGGGTTGGAAGATCAAATTAAGGGCCTCGTCGATCTGGTTCATAATCAAGCCTACTACTCTCAGGGTGCACACGGGTAAGTCCTTTACGTATATTCATATTCTCCCTTGGTTGCTGAGGTTCCAGTATGTGCTGGTTATCTCCTGCATGGCTGTTACAATATGTACTCTATCGTAGTCTCATCTGGCTGAGCATTTACAAGCATTCTGTGAAGGGTCTAACTTCCTAGGCTTTCAGCTAAAAGCATCTCGTGCAATTGTAGAGAGAAAGTGGTGAAGGGAGATATCCCAAGTGAGATTAAAGAAGCAGTATCCGAGAAGAGGCGGGAACTCATTGAGGCTGTATCAGAGGTGGATGAGGAATTGGCGGATTTGTTTCTGAACGATGAACCTATCTCGCCTGAGGTTCTTTCGGTAGGTTTCGAATGTGAAGTTCTGTGTTTCTACTTAATGCTTAAGACTGGGCAAACGTTTTGGTGAATGCAATCCTTTCAGTTGTGGTGCCTGATTTGCTATGGTCGTTGCCTATGGAAATGGTCAGGGGAAATTTTAAATCTTTCTTTAAGAACTTAGAAATGTCATCCTGTTCAGCTACACCTTGCTGAAGGTTGTTGTATTTTCTCTTGGAATATATCATGCTGTAAGGAGTTTTTAGTACTCAAATAAATCTATGCCATTTGTAGGGTGCGGTGAGAAGAGCGACTCTGAACCTGCAATTCATACCTGTGTTTATGGGTAGTGCATTTAAAAACAAGGTAATCTTCTTGTATGTATATTATGACTTAGGATGCATTAAACTTTGTCTTAATGTGTGAATAGTGGCTAACATTGTTTCACCGCTGATTTGATGATTTATTCCTTTGTTCAGATCATGTTAACCTACCTTAGAACAATAAGCATGTATCATTGAATCAGGAGTTCTTTTATGATCCGCAGGGTTTGCACGTCCTTGTCCTTCTATATATTGTTTTGTTTGTGTGCTTGTTTTAATTTTATTTAAAATAGTACAAAAATTCATGTTTTTAATTTTTTTAATAATTATTTGTTTAGTTTATCTTAATCCAAGTTGTTAACAGCTGATCGCATTGCAAGGAAAAGGCTTCATGCAGTTTATGACTTGATCAATCGTTACTTGGTGTTGTGTGTAATAGGGTGTCCAGCTTCTTTTAGATGGTGTTGTGGAATACTTGCCCAACCCACTCGAGGTTTCTAACCACGCGCTTGATCAGAACAAAAACGAAGAAAAGGTATCGTCAAGCATTCTTTTCTATGATTATTTTTTGGGGGTTTGGCTTGATAATAACCGTCAGACAAGTCAAATATTTCACCTGTGCCATGATTAGGTCAATTTGCGGGCTTTCTACCCTTATTCTGGAGTTATCATAATGACTTCGTCAAATTGTGGTATCAGTGTGTTTGTGTTCTGGTTTTTTATTCACATATGCCAACGGAAGGCCATTTTCTTGATCTTTGTGCTACTTCATTTGTTCCCTCATTTTCATCTTTGTATTGTGTTAGTGCATAATACAGATTGTTTCTTTATTTTTTACTTTGTATCAACATTTGTTACCTGATTTTGTGGTCAATTTTGAGGACCTTCAACAGTAGTAGCTGATGCTGTCCCGTGTTTTTCCCCAATCCCTGCTTGTGTTGTTTGTCGTTCTAAAGTTGGTATTGACATGTTGTCAATCCCATTGTTGTGCTGTCGCTGTAATAATTTCCATCATGACAGGTCGAGCTGAGCGGGTCTCCAGAGGGGAAGCTTGTTGCTCTTGCGTTCAAGTTGGAGGAGGGCCGTTTTGGCCAGCTTACGTATTTGAGGTATGCAGTATCTTATGTCACTGGATCATATTTTATGTTCAGAATCGCTTCGTTTAGCTAATGATAACACGTCTTACTATTATCTGAAGGTTCATTATTACAGTAGGATTGACTTCCAGATATTGTCGCCTTTCTCCCTTAAAAGGATTTACTACCTACTGCTCGTAGTTGTTGAGTGCTACATTTTGTGGATGCAGTTGCCTTGTTAAAAATAATTGTTCAACAACTGACATTCTTTCTATTGGTGCTTTCGAGCCTTTTGTGATACCTTTCGAGACTGGTGGTATCGGAAGTCCCATGGTCGATCTTTATTAAGAATTTCATATTATTGTTCGCAGGTTATATGAGGGTACAATGCGTAGGGGTGACTTCATTATTAACTCTACCACTGGTCGCAAAGTGAAAGTGCCTAGGTTAGTGCGGATGCATGCAGATGACATGGAGGTTAGTCTGAATCTCTCTCCTTGTCCTTTTTTTTGTTTCTGTTTTGTTTTTGTGGGTTGGTGTATCTTTTGAAAGAATGATCAAACTTATGCTGCTTTTAGGTTTCTAAAGTTGTGTTGCTGGCGTGCTGTTGTGCTACACCGTAGTTATTATCATGTCTCTACTTACATTCTGCGGAGTTGTATTTCAGGACATTCAAGAGGCACATGCTGGAGAAATTGTTGCAGTCTTTGGTGTTGAGTGTTCTTCTGGTGATACTTTTACGGACGGATCTGTGAAGTTTACGATGACATCAATGAATGTTCCAGAGCCAGTGATGTCACTTGCCATTGCGCCTTCCTCGAAAGATGTTGGTCCTCAGGTGTGTTTATTCTTTCAATTTTGTTCGGTGGAAAATTACTTAATCCAAGAGTCACAGTGACACGTGTCATTAACCATTGTTCATACATTTAAAAAGATGCGGCACGAAAAAACTATAACTCGGCGAAATGCGGAACTAGCTATGTCGGTCTGGAGAGAGATAGCCAGCTAGTGAAACGTGTTATGATGCAGAAAATATCATATTTTATCCTGAATATTGGTATCTTAAATAAGGACATTCTACAACAGTTGGTTTTGCGGTAGGTTTTATTGAGTGATTTCACTGTGAATTCTTAATTTAAAATTTTAATGGGTATGCGAATGAAGGTGATTGTGCCCTCTGCATTTAATGTTTACGCAATGAGTTAATTTATCGATTTCAATCGTATTTTCTAATTTATGTCGGAATTTGATTGTGGGGGGATAGTTTTCAAAGGCCTTGAATCGGTTTCAAAAAGAGGATCCAACATTCCGGGTCAGTTTGGATCCAGATAGTGGCCAGGTAAATCATTTCACAGCTTGTTTTTACTTGTTCCTTGCTTTTGTGGTACATTTATTGGTATTTTCAATCTCCAGTGACCTAACTTTATTGCAATTCTATTCAAAGTGAATGGAGTTCAGAGGATTTATCTGAGGGGCCGGGACTGGGGCTTGAGTTTCTGCAGACAATTATTTCGGGGATGGGAGAGCTGCATCTTGACATATATGTTGAACGCATTCGTCGTGAATACAAGGTTCTTAATACATTGATTCTTTATACTTTTTACCAACCACGTTAGGTATTTTGTCATGAGTTGACACATTATCTCAAGGTCCTCTCAAGTGTCCTCTACCGATCTTTTAAGGTATAGTCAGGAGATGGACACCGTATACTCACTGCTGTTAATGCTTGGCTATTTTTCTGCAGGTCGATGCAGTAGTAGGAAAGCCACAGGTGAACTTCAGAGAGACCATTACACAGCGCGCTGAATTTGACTACCTTCATCGGAAGCAAAGTGGAGGACAGGGTCAATATGGTCGTGTTGTGGGGTATTGGACCTAAACTCTTGCTTTCTATAACTTAATCATGGATCATCTTTGTTGTGGTGAATTTAATTGTTTCAAATGAAGTTACACCGGCAATTTTATTTGCTGAGATTATTTTTGTATTTCTGCTGCATAGATACATTGAACCTCTGCCAGAAGGGAGTGAGAAGAAATTTGAGTTCGAGAATATGATGGTTGGACAAGCTGTTCCTTCTCAATTTATCGCGGCTATCGAAAAAGGTTTCATAGAAGCTAGCAACTCGTAAGTTTAGCCTAGCCCTTGTTACTCAAGTGGATTCTTTTGAGGGTTTGATATCTCTTTTACCCATGCTTAGAGGAAAGATAGATGAGTAACGCTGCTGGCTGTAGGTGCTGGATTTTCAACTCGTTAAATCCATTTCTCACCTTAGATAGGTGGGTATTGTCTCCCTCGTGTAAGCCTAGCAAACTCAAGCGGCCAAGAAGTTACTAGTAGGTACATATTATGTTAAGGAGTCAGGACAATACCTTTATAGGGAATATAAGTGCAGCAACCTTCTATTTCATGAAGTTAATTAACCAAGCTTGTGATCCAAACTTGAGTTTCGTCTTTGCAGCTCAATCATTTTGTTGCTTCTTAGCGGTGTATTTATCTGGTCTGGTGTTGTGCAGAGGCGCACTGATTGGTCATCCAGTGGAGAATCTGCGAGTGGTTCTGACCGACGGCGCCTCACATGCTGTAGACTCTAGTGAACTTGCTTTCAAGCTAGCTGCTCTGTATGCATTCCGCCAGGTGCAGTCATTAATCCGTTGGTTTTCACTTTTTCATTAGTCCTTTGAGAACCTACTTAATTTGAATTCTTAACTCTTTTTTTCACTTTATCTCTTTCCTGAGTAGTAAGGGAGTTGATAGGATCTCATGGTTCCTGATTACGTTGCTCATTCATGTGCTCCAGTGCTACGCGGCAGCAAAGCCTGTTATTTTGGAGCCGGTTATGCTTGTGGAACTTCGGGCTCCTGTGGAGTTCCAAGGTTCAATTATTGGAGATATCAACAGGTATATTATTTAGCATAGTAGCTATGTACATGCTAGCCAGTTTACTGTGTGATTGAAGTATCTAATTAATTACATTATGCTTCCTTTGTTTTTCTCAGTTAAATTACAGTACAATGGTCGTGACCATGTGATGTATACTGAAATCCTATCCACATTTTAGGTTTTGATTTTTACAAACATATGACTTAAACTCTCTGGAGTGATGACAAAGCAGCGCAAATCCGAGTGTTAGGTTTGTATTGTGTTGCTTTGATTTCTATCGGACGGCTTCTCAGCTTCTGACACTGTCATCATTGCTGACATTGTGTCAGGAGGAAAGGCATTATTGTAGGCAGTGACCAAGAGGGTGATGATGCAGTCGTCTTGGCCCATGTGAGTTATTGATCTAGCCATATTGTCAGAAGTAGAGTTCTGAAACAAATGCACTTTTGTTTTGGCTTGCATCTACCTAGGGTTCTGGGCAGTGAAGCATATTTTATCCAACACAGTTTATGTTAAGCAACTTGAAATCTCGAAGTATGTGACGGCGAGCTTTGAGGATTGTATCTTTAAGTGTTCTAGTGGCACAAATGATTTGGCTGCAACGTCGAAAAGTTTTGAATTATATATTCGAGACTTATTGAACAGTCGCAAACTAGTATTTATTGTCTATAAGTATTCATACCCGGTCCCTGTTCATCAGTTGCTTCTGTTCTCTCAGATCTAGTTATTCATTTATTTTATTTTTAGTTAATTGTGTTCAACTATAATCCATGTGCCTTGTTTGTAGTTCTAATTGATAATTTTTTACATGCTAAGAAGTTTTTCTATGCGACATTGTCCTCGGCTTAAGTCAATTATGTATTCTCAGGTACCATTGAACAACATGTTTGGCTATTCAACCGGATTGCGCTCCATGACACAGGTCTGTCACAGCATTGATTCAAAAGTTTTTCCATCTTTCTAGAGTATAAGCTCTAGGCCCTCGTTCCTTGTCTGTATTTACAGAATAATGTGACCAACTGGTTGCTTATAATTATGGTTGGTTCATCATTGACAGGGTAAGGGAGAGTTCACGATGGAGTATCATCAGCATGCAGCTGTGCCACAAGATGCTCAAGCAGTACTTGTGAAGGAGTATACAAACAAAAGAGTCACTTTGTAACCAAGTTCAATTCTGCCAAAGCCCACGAAGTGATCTAATTATGAAAAATATATTAGGTGCATCTTTTGCAAACTCATTGAAGATTAATGTTGAGGTCTTGTGTCCTGCGTACTGTCTTAATCTCGAATGGGAAAAGCGAGCTGGGTTTTTCTTGCCCGTTCTTGCGGATATTAGGAATCTTGTCGGAATTCATCTGTAGGATAATTCCCCTTTTCATATTAGTAAAAGATCTGATACGAATAGAAGAAACATTATAGAGTTTCTTATGCATTCTTTCAGGGAGTATCAGATGTGCCAAATTATTAAAGGACTTGAAGGTTAGAATGGTGAATTCATAAGTGTCGTTTGTTGGCTATCTAAAGCTAATTTAGTTTGGAAGTGATTGTCATTTGAGAACAACAATCTTGCCAAGTTTAGTGCTATAAGGCAATGCATTATCTCTAATCTACAACTTAATGGAGCACAAGCACTCTTGATGGTTCAATACAAGGCTCACTGCATTAGCATTTTTACTAAAACAAGAAAAAGATTAGATCTCGTAGTGCATTGTTAAGACTAATCAACATTGTTGTAACCTTCTGTAATGGCTTGCTGCAAAAAATTTAGCATCATAGCTTGAAGTATAAGTCACATAGTAACAACAACTCTATTGATAAGACTACTGTTACTGATCAATCTACAAGCAAATATATTAATTTACACCATCCAAGTCATTTACAACATGAATAGGAGTAACCTCTTCTATCAAATGAAGATAGATTGCACTATCTTGGAGTATTACATTGAAGGGTCCAAAAATGATAAGTTCTTCTTTACTATGGTATTTACAACCAATACAAACAAATCTTACAAATTAGACAGCTTTGGCTACAACATGTTGTACTACTTCCAAAAACAAATTAGGAGGCAATGTAGCTTTTACTATTGCCACAACTAAGAGGCCTACATGATTGGTCATATTTTGCAAATGGCTACAAAGCTTGGACAATAAAATATAAATAGCTAATTATCATATATGTAATTAGACATTGTGTCTTTGCATGGCATTGATAATCTTTTCATTACTAACTTAGACATGTTTATGTTGTCTTCAAAGTCATTGTCTATGATCTAATTCTTGAACGCCAACATCATTGTTGCTTTCAAGCTTTGTTATTGTTGCTTCTAGCTACAATGAGCAAGCATGAGAATGAAAAAACATATCTACAAAGTTAATCAACTTATTGCAATGCAATGGACCAAAGCCTTGTGAAACAAGATCTTTAAAATCACTATAATGAACTACTTTTGATATAATGGAATGTTTGGCAATAGACAAGGTGTAGGTGACGAAGCAAAAGTTGGTTTGTAAAGATCAACAAATATTGCAAATATGCAAGATATTGAAGATGAGATTTTGGTAAAAGTCAATCCACCTTGCATAGCAAATCTCATATCAATCAATGCTCTTATGAATTGTGTCCAAGAAGTTGACACTATGCACATAGAGTTGTTAGACAAGAGGCTATTAGCACTAGCTGCATTGAAAGACAAAGCATTGGAAGAGACAAATGAGCATGACAAAGAAGATCTTGAAGTTAAATTCTCAATCCAAGAAAAACTTACTATCCTTAATCAAGCCTTCAAGTTCTTTAATCCTACTAAACTTATCTTTTTTATGGCACATTAAATCTTACAAAATATACATCATGATATTCAAGCTTCTAAAATTAATATAAATAATTAGCTTTAGCAAGCAACAACTATAAGATGAAATTTGGCATTAGTTGCATGCATTAAGAGATTATACTCAAAGGCTAGAAAGACTCAAGCAACAAGGTCTACTTTTACTTGGGCAAATGTTACAAGTACAAACACATCTTCATCAACAAAAGTATTGGCAACATAAATCTTGATTAAATTTTGAGGCACTTTTGAAGCAACTAGGTGCATAAATAGATATGCTTGCTATTTAGAGCATTCCATTGAGGACAAAATGGTTGTACACCTTCATCTAATTTTTCATCTTTTTTTAATTAAAGGTTATCTTTATAAATTGATAATAGCTATTTAAAATATTTAATATTAGAAATTAGACGTATTGACATATAAATCGATAGATGGGAAGCAATATCAAGAAAGAGGGGGTATTAACTTATGGAGGATCAACTTATAGAGGTACAATTGCATATCTTGTTTTTTGTTTTTTTAAGTTTTTATGATAAAAAATTTATATTAATTTTGGTAGTTATTTTAAAAATTCAAAAATAGATATAATTATGATAGATAAAAAATAAAATATCTTTCAAGTTATAATGATTTAGAATTTAGAATCCATTTATTTTTCAAAATAATATAAATATTATAAAGATATTCTTAATTGTATTTGGACATCTTATCAGAATGTAAAGATAAAATCATTTTAAAAATAAAATGAAGTGATTAATTTATTAATTTATTAAAAAAAAATCTATAATGTATTGAGTTTCAAGAAAAATATTATCTGAATGATTTATTTTTTAAAAAAAATGGAAATACTAAGAGAAGTTTCTGATTTTCTTTAGAAATATTCTAAAAAAATTTCTATTACAAATGATAATTGAAAAGGTTCTAAAAAAATCTGAAAAATCCAAAAAAATTACTAAAAATATTAATTTTATAAAGCTCTACTAGTAGATATAGTTTGTGATTTGTTAGAACTCATGTTTTTCAAAATGTATTGGTTTTAAACTAACTGATGTATCAAAATGCATTTGGTAAGTGAAATAAAATCAAGTTATCCAAATCTTTTAAATCATTTTTTACCACACAATAATTCATTACTAAAAATTATACATCATCACAATAACTATGTGATTAAAAAATCAGATAAAAAAAATAAAATAGTTGTGCATAACAACTTGATTTATTCATTTATTTTATTTTATTTTTATTCATGTTTGTAGTTTGATTTGTTGATACTGTAACTTCTAGTATTGTACTATCCACAACACTAGTAATTTTACAACTTATTGGATGATCATGAAGCACTTGTATCCTATGTCAATCTACATTATGGCTCAAATTACATGGAAACCACAATTTAATACCAAATATCATGCACTTCGAACTTTGAATACAATCTCAAAAATGATTCTTGTGGTATGCTAAATTTGATACTGGGATGTACATTCATGTTCTAGTGCCAGTAGTCCAAACTTATTGAATTTCTGATAGGAACACATGTATTAGCAGCATGGGTAACTTATTGAAGTTTGATGTGAGGAGCTACCTCTTGGCATTGGAAGACCCAGTTCTCATGGAGAAACAGTTCATTAATTTAAACAAGACTTCTCCCTAACACCGTTGTTGTGTCAAAGGATGTTTCACAGCCTTCACTAAAAAGGGTTCTCTGGGATTGTTGCGAAAGCATTGTTGTTGCTGATAAGATTTGCAACCATTGATTGGGATGCAGCAACAAGCAAAGAGGCATTCAGGAACATAAAGCCCAAAACCTAGCGCTGGAATGGAACTAACTCAGACGGTGGTAAGACTTGTATCACCTAGAACGGATGATATACAAACCCATTTTAGGTACCTTCTGTATCCATATGTTTCTCAAAGTACGGATCACATTTAATTCAATTTTTGGAATTTGCGAGGTACACAGAGTGTCGGCACGATTTAGAGATTCGTTACACGGAGATCAATGAATCCGTGATGATAAACCTGGTCTACCAGCTGTGCCGAATCCCATTCCTTCTAGAGTGATGGGAACATGCTATCAACAGAGACGGAAAAAGCACATTCAAGAATGATTCCTTGGACACGAAAGATTCACAACTTGATAATCGTTCTCAAGTAGCTGGCGGACGTAAATAAGGGCTCTCTTTCAAGCGGGAGTCAGACCTGACTTCTAAAATGGAAAGAAGGCGTAAGCGGAATATTCAAACAAGGGAATAAGGTTTCAGTCGTCGATTGAATTCCAGTGACTTGCATGTATGAAATATACAACCAATCGTTGATGGAGCTGTAACCTCTGAGGAAGAAGGGTGGTGCAAATGTCACATGATAAGGCGTAGCATACCGAGACCCACAGCAGTGAGTGACACTATAGTACCTGAAATGCAGCAGGCAAAGTGTATGAGCATTTACCCACGTAGGCAATTGTCACGTAGAGAATTAAATGGAGGAGCTCGACTTTAAGGCTTATAACTTACCAACAAAATCTGGTGTCATGTAGGACGAGTTCATGTAGGATGAATGAATTCAACAAACAAAGCAAAGAAGAAAATGCATCACCTATGCAATACTTGATCACATCAAACTTGGCTGCCTCAAGCTGTGTCTTCAGGGCATGAATCTCCTGCTCAATTCATGAAACCAATTAATTGCAGCGAAACAAAAGCAGTACTCCCTTGACAGGATAATAAAGCTGTTCTATTACTGTAGCAGTGCTATCATATAGAGCTGAAAAACAGCAGTTGCCCGAAGCTGCAACTGCACAGAAACCTATGAGCGAACAAATCACTGTGGAGGCTTGAAGAAGCGGTCCAAAATCCTCTGCACACTCTCTCAAGCATCAGGAATTGATTATTAATTATCGTTGTCTATTTAGCTTACCCTATCAAGCTTGTTAGTCAACTCGGATGTTTCTGTAGCTTGAGCAGCAAGTTCATCTCGAATCCGCCTGTATAAACGCAGCAAAGTTCAGTCGGTGAGTGTTCAAGATTCAATTAAATATTAAGTCATGCTCACAAAGGTTGGCGGTAAAGTTGATGACTAGCTATGTAGTTTCTGCTCCAACCAATTCGTCTAACACAAAAACAGCCCTCAGGATCCAACTGTTAGGTCTACTGAATGCAAGTCACTACAACCAGAAGCAACACTCATGCATGGCAGTTTAAAAAGAAATATAATAGGCACTTCAGCTCTTTTAACAGAAACATGAACAGAAAGATAACCACCTTACCCCCTTTCTAAATTTAGGTCCAACCGTTGACCTGAGGTGACTTTGTCAATCGCATACCTGCAGTCATTTATGGAGTACAACAAACTAATCATAAGGCAGACAGACGACTTCAAGATCTCAATATACAGCGGAGAGTAGGGTTTACAATAGTAGATCTGCAATTATCCATGTAGGTGTCCACAATCTGGAAATGAAACTTAACTCTGAAGTATCTTTCTATGAACCCCGCGCATGATTTAAACTAGGACATCCGAATATAATTAGCACAAAGTAACAAATCTGTGATATAAAAAATGGTCCATGTTCGCAATGTTATGTTCATAAAATCGTCGTCACGTACTTTGATTCATTGCGCATCTTGTCAATATCAGTGCGGAGTCGCTCCAGCTCCTGCTGCAGCATTGAGAAGTGGTGCTCCTACACAAGATTCCATAGGGTCCAGCACTAAAGATAAACCGCGCGTTACGCTCTTCATCAAATGTTTTACCAGACACATGTTTTTCTTTAAAAACAGCATATATGACAAAACATAATGGCTCATCGAATTTGCAGACAGATAATGAGATTTAAACAATTTCAACTAAAATATGATAGAATAGCAATAGATACAGCCTTTCGATTTCATCTCAAATTCTTACTCAAAATAAAATATAAGACAGCACCGAATGCATCAGAACAACTTCGTTAAAAATATACCTGTGAACTTTGCACCTGCGCTTTGAATTTAGACAGAGCGGCTTCTGCCATCATTTCGCTCTGCGAAGAAATAATTTAAATAAATAAATACAATCAAAAAGCTCAGAAGTGAAACATAACTGAATGAATCCACAAAATTCAAAACCACGTGATTTGAAAAAGACTACAATCAAATAACGCACATATGAGGATACTTCTTGCAAGGTGAAAAAAGACAACATTATTAAGTGAGACCGGGGAAGTGGCTGAATAAATAGTGCTTTGATTAGCCTCACTACATTTCAAAATTGGTATATGTCACCTCCTCCTAAGGCAGCTATAAAAGTCAATAAGACAGCCTACACCGCTCCTGCATAAAAGATGACCAATGCAAGAGTGTGACATGTAGGTGTGAGACCCATTCAATGAGGCAGAATAAGACCCACCCGCTGCATTTCATGTTTGGAGGTGAATGTCTGACCCACGTTCTCTAAGCTATCGTTCAAAACCTCTGTAATAACCGCCGTAATAGCCTCCGCCTGTGCCGACGTCAACCCCTGCGATTCTAATCTTTTCACCTGTGGGCCCAAACCCATGATTATAGGAGTGATCCTAATTAGCGAGACTGGTGAAGATCCACAAGAGTTCTAACGATGCAAGACCTTAGAATCCACACCAAAGCATTAAGCCTGCACTAGCTTGAAAAACCCTAAGTACTGAACTAACATACCAAAGTAGCGACAACGAAGTGAATCGACGCGGTCCAAAACAGTACCGCAGATTACCCACTTCACAACACTGCAAGGAATGACATCGAAAATCCCTAATACAGGTGAGACCAAAGTTTCGTCAATACAAAACTCCAACTAGAAGAAACCTAATTACCAGGGCTAGAGTATCCACGAGAAACAGCCTCCTGCTACCCTTGGACGCCACAAGTTGCGACAGGTTCCGCGTATGGAAACTCCGCACTCTCTCATGATTCCACGCCCATGGTAAGCTACCCCGGCCCAAACCCAGGGGAGAGTTGCTTCGCCCACAATCTTTCTGGCCATTCAACTCCCCACAAGGTTGTGAAGACAAAAGCCCCTTCGTCACATTGCTCCAAACGCCGCCCGCAATCCCATCCTCCCCCGCCCAATTCAGAATTGATCGTTGCAACGCCTGATGCCGCACGCTCCTCCCGATCGCATGTGCCATGCTAGTCTTCCCCTCTATCCAGTCACGCAACCATAGTGAACACAGCGTGCAATCTACCTCCGTCCCCAATTCATAGAATACCTCCACGTACTTCTGCAACGAGAACCGATATTCAATCCCCCCCCCCCCCCCCCCCCAAAAAAAGATATTTCACTGCAAAGGATATGCAGCCAATTCAGGAATCCTCGCCCTCACCCTAAATCGTTAGAGCGAAGTTTAAGTTATAGCTTGCGAATGAACCTCGCAGTCTGGTGAAGCGTAAATGATCGCAGAGCCTCATAAAGGAGACTTTCGCTTGGCCTAATGTAGAACGCATTCTCAATGTATCGGCCAAGCACAGCATCCCCGACACTATCGGCGCTACGGAATTGTTATCCAGTTAGCAGACAAGAATACAGTTCTATCCGCTGATCCAGAAACTCGTCGACGTGCCCTGAATTTGGTTTTGTCAAAATTCTCCTGCCTACGGAATGCTCGCATCCAAATTGTCAGATATAGACAGATGGTAACGTCTTTCATCTTCGTGGACAGATAAGTTAAGGGTGCAGGTGTGCGAGAGGTATGGTGCCTTTAAGTCGGTTCATTCCAGTGTGTGCATCACACAAATGTGCAGTATCTGTCGGCGAATGCACTTCAACTGTTTCATATACATATACACCAACAATAGTATCATAACGTGGAGTGTCTCCGGCATAGAGAAGAGAAAACAAAAGTGGAATTTATGTGGAACTAAGGTATCACAGGTTCTCCATAATGTGAAGTTTGGAAATATTCCAAGTACTAGATTTACATGTTGGGTGAGACACACCCTTACTAATGTTATTGCATCGTACACAAAAATAAAAGTTATCCAACCTCTCCACATCAAGTGGACACGAAAATAATGGTGAGACTAAAAGAGTAGGAGATTGCGCTTGCGTTGATCCTGTTTCCACTTGGGCATCTCGTAAAACTGGGTTCTCGACATTCCAAAGAGCTTCTCAAAATCTTCAGGGGATAAATAAGCCTGCGTAACACGGATGTGTCAGAACTCTCGCTGCCTTGGAGACGTTAAATACGTGAGATTGAAAGAGGCATGGATCTATTAATTTCAAACTACTTGCTCTTCTTGGCCATGGAGCTCATAGGTAAACACGGGAAACAAGGGAGACCTCAATACTTTGGTGATTAGTAAAAATAAAGTACGCAATACAGTACCTCTTTTCTTTTTATATTTATTTTTGGAGGATTTGTGGATGATGATTTCAAACGATCATAGCTGTAAAATTCAGCGATCTCCTCTCCTCCATCTCCTCCATCCTCAGAAGTCTTTGAGCTTGTTACAGATTCTGTATCTCCCGTTGCTTCCACTTTCGCGAATGGTGAGCTCCCAGCAACCCAATCAGCATCGACTAAGAAATCAAGAACAGCACAAGTATCAGCACGGTTAGTAAACCAAGTCTGTCAAAAATAACAACAGAGTGATTTGAAACTATTCATTGTTGTTACCATTGACCATCGCAAGCAATCAAGAGGAAGAACAGGTGATTGAGAAATCATGACATCAGCAGACATATATCATCTTTTTAACTCATAATCATCATCCAAACTGGCCGATTGCACTAAAATATGAATTTTTCATCCAGTAGAAGGAACAACGCACTCACCTGACACTGCAGAGCCTGGAGCTTTTTTTGTGCCAAGCATGAAGGATAGGGCCGCCATTGCAGCAGCTCTTTGAGAATTCGCAGTTGATGGACGATGAAACCTTGGACTCGCTGGAGCAGAGGATGGGTTCTGATTGACTAGTGTTTGGGCAACCTTCGACAGTTTCCCTTCTGAAGTCAACTGTGAAGAGAGAGCTGCCATGGCTGCTGCCCTCTGTGTGGATTCACTTTTGGTACCAGCTGAAGCACTTGGAGTAAGACGTCTTTGGACTTTCTGCAATATTCGGACAGAGTGTTACAGTTACACACGAATGTAGTTGCTTACGCTAACAGCTCAAGTCATGAAATCAGTATGTGAACTCTCCATCATCAGAAGCTCTACTTCGGAAAACCGGAGGAGCCTAAAAATACTTCTGCATGCGATTTATATCAACCAAACCGGATATGAAATCACCTCTTGAGGAACTGGTCGTCCTTGAATCCCTGCAACTCTTTTTGTGTAGGAATCTCCATGGACCTGTCATTTACAGTATTTAGATTTAGGCACAAGTTAACAAGTTGTATATATTTGGATGTTAATCACGGTCCTCGAATATCCTATTAACAACAGATAGACAAATCAAATTTCACTAGGGGTGTTTCACAGGTCTAATAGTTTTACCTATGCACTTGGATCACTAAGAGAAAAAAGAAAAAAAGAAAAAAAAAGCAGTTACATAAATTCACTGTATATATGCCAAAAAATAGAGCAAGAAAAGTAAACAGTTGATACTGACATTGACCTTGCTGGAATCCCATGAGAAGAAGGTGGTGAAAAACATTGGCTCATTGCCTTCCGTGATCATGAAGATGGGAACATCCTGTAGTATCCCATCCAACCTTGCTGCACGTTCGATGTATTTCTGCACGTTGCAACGAGATCTCATATGAAAGGATAGTTTAAATCTGAGTATCCTACTTCAATCGATAAGCACTTCCAGAAATGAAACCCACAGACTACTGGTACTAGAAGATCGCAGTCTATCTAAGCTCACAATTCTCAGCAAAGACGTACGAGACTACGGTAGTGTAGTACCTTGGCAATATCTAAATTTAGCTCTTTCTCCTCTGTGCTTGCATGCTGGCCAACCCACTCGTAGATGACATTGTGACAGTCCAGGATCATGATATCGTCACTCAGAAGATCATCTTGTGTGAAATTGTGCACTTCAGTCACCTGTACAATTCCCAATTCAGTTTACTAGCAGACACGCAGTAAGCTCTGATAAAATCATCGCAGCACTAGACGCTTTGCAATGAGAGGGACATAAAAACAGAAAGCAACAAACCCGACGACTCTAAAAAAATAAGTAAACAAGTAAATAACCCTATAATTGACAATACAAGCTGGCAAACTGATACAAAGTTAGACCGATAGTCATATATCTTTACCTTCAAATTTTCTGAACAGTTGTACGCAGCCGATCCAAGAACATGCCATCAGATTTATGTTAGATAATAGGGTTTCAAAAGGTAGTTTTCCATCAAGTACTATAGCAAATTTGGTTTTTTTTTAAATGTTTTTGAGGCCAAAAAAGTTCCATATATTTGAGAACTGAGCCATAACGGACATAGGATAGATGAAAAATTTATTATGTACTATCACAAGAGTTCCCGTCGTTCACTTGTCTGAACTTTAAAAGAATCATTAAACCATCCAGAAAATTAAAGTCACTAAAACCACCTTGTGAGGGCCTCACCTCGTGAAAGACTGCAAGCGAACAGCCTTGGATCCTTCGGACCCTCTTTTGGTTTGGGGTGGCTTGCATATTTTCGTTTACTCCCCAGAGAACTCCAAAAGAGTGGAGGCTCTAATCCTTCTTTCACAGGCCTTGCTACAACACCAGGCTGCACCAGTCAAGTACAGGTTCAGAATATTAGTAAGGGATAGTCTTCAACAAAATGATGTGTTGCAGCACATCATTGACGCCAAGAACAAAACTGGCATGATTAACTTAGAATTATAACTCACCTTCAGAACTTCAGCTGCTCGCAAAACAGCCTTCTGATTCTCAACAGTACTCAGGTTGCCTGTCCAGGCATACAACTTCGAGTTGGTTTGAAGTAGAAAGCAATCGGAGGAGTTTAGTGAAGCTGACACCTACAAACAGGGAAGAAAACGTTACTGTGATTGTTGTCCCGGATACTCGCAATCCGGACTATCAATAAAGCTCATAAGGCAGCAAAAGGAATATATGCGTGGGCCTCCGGCCAGTATAATGACACACTACTCACAGGCTCCAGCTGGACAGCTAGGACAATTTGTGGACCAACACACCGCGCCCGCACCAACAATATTGAATGATCCTTGTGACCTGGACAAACATGTTCCTGCAATGAATTGAAAATCACCTAAAGATCAAAACATGCATAGAAAAATTCGCCGGATTACATGAACATTGACGCTTATAGATTCAGGGTGAGTACTACGAGCCCAAAACATACTAACTGCATTCACCAAAAACCAGACCTACTGCCTTTTAAGAACACAAAATGCAAGACCCAGCAAGCCAGTGATGGCTACATGATAGCAAAACAGGTGACAGACCTTCAATATGCACATGCATTTAAACAGCGCCAAAAACTGAATGGGTTCCTTGCCTTGAGCAATGTATGCCTGTCATGCAGACAGATGTTCGCGTCATATGGAATGCAATCACAAGAACAAACATCGCAAAACTTTAGTTGCTTTATACCTTTTACGTTCAGAGGTGGAGTTGACGATAACGGCTAAACAAAACAAAATAATCAAAATACAATGGAGTAGAATATAGTTCCGTCAAATTCAAAGTACGAGCCTGGAACACTAAAAACGCACGAACAATCTGAACATCCAACAACGAGCTTTCCATATTCCAGATATTCTGTCAAAGAGTAAATAAACGAAACCTCGATGCGCAAGTTCAGGGACGAAGAGTATAAAGATTATATATAATTTCTTTGTTTCTCGTTCAAGCAAAACTCGTAACAAAAACCCATCTTAAAAGTGAAGGAAATTACCTGAACTGCACGTCCTTTCAGTGCTGCACTCATTTCATTCATAACCCTCAGTCCCGAAGCCTTGTCCTCCTGCATACCAAGATCGACTTAGTGCACCCAGATCATAATATCCATATGCATAAATAAACTAACGCCATTCTAACGATCCAAATATAAGGGAAAATAATTGAAAGCCCGATTTCTGCTGTGACCAGAGATATCTTCATTGCAAATTACGAAAGCTCTTTTACAGAAACTAGAACGAAATGTTGGTGTCGCAAATCCACGCTTACCACAGAGGTGTGCCGACCAATCCAGTTGCATAGAAGGTATTCCTCTTTACGCTCTTCTCCTTGATAAGTGTAAAGCACAATATAGCAGCTGTGGTCATAGAACCTTCCAACATCTCCAGCATCAATTTCTTTTTTTACACCACCGACCAACCTCCATACCTGGTAAATCATTAATTTTTGTTAGCATTCATCAAGACTAGACCAATTTCCAACCGAGTCCAAGGAAGTATCAAATGAAGGACTTAAAGAAAGAACAAGTACAAGTTAATTGGGCTAAGAAAAACTTTGAAAAGTTAAGCAGCAAGAAGAACCTCAAGCTTGCCATTCAAACTTGGAAGTGGTGGGAGCTCTTCTTTCACAGGTGAACCCTTGAGAATACCTTTTGTGTTAACACCTTGCTGCTTCAACAATGCTGTAATGAGCATAGTATCAGCCATTATAATAGTGATCGTACAAAATACTACCACTAACATAGGTACGTCAACAATACATTTTATGACTTATCAAATTATAATGAAGTACTCATCCAGATAATGATAGAGATTAGACTGAAGAGATTGAACGCCACCAAAAGGGATACAGTACATGCCAAAACACAAATAATTGCAATAATACAGACATTTTAGGCGTCAAATTATCAACATTTGACTTCTGTTAACAATTTAGGTGCAGAAGCGCAATGAATCAGTACCGTCTATTACATGCTACAGCTGTTCGTCATAATCTTCAGTCTAAACAAAACCAGTAGTCTGAGTATATTGAGTGCACCTGCAACTTTGCCTCTTCCTTCTTCAGAGACGGTGTGTTGTCCATTTAATGGCCACTTAACAAAGTACGAACGAAACTCGAGCGTTTCGAATCCTTCAATGATCCGGGTGATCTGGATGTGCTTCGGCCTATTCAGGTTAGTGATTAAATCCTGCATAGTGGTAAAAGTTTCCGAGTTACAACGAAAACGTTCCAGATAAGATTATATAGAAAAGTAAAAGTAAACCACAAAAAATCGTTTTCAAGTTGGATGCTAAGGGAGATCTGCTCGCACTTAACAAATTATTCGCAGAAAAGATGTGAGAGCGCGCCCAACAAAAATGAAGAGCACATCGTAGTTAGGAGGTTTAATGTCCACATTTACAAACGATGACATAGTAGTCAGTAGAAAAGATGGATATGCGATGCTTGCCTCTACAATTGAAATTGCAGCCTTTCTAGCATCAAGTGATGTGTTGCGACCTGCCCAAGTGTAGATCTCATTACCGCAATCGAGCACGTAACACTTGCTGCTGTCAAGTACATCCTTAGACATTTCCACTTCCTTCAAGCTCCTTTCTATGATACTTTCAATTAGAAAAACCAAAAACCAATTCCACGTTAGTCACATCATACTGCTTTCAGATCCAAAATTCATTGAAATACACATTCTTTAAAACAATCGCGAAAAAACTTATGTAACATATAAACAAAACAGCAATAGCACTTGATTGTGGTGGTAATAAAAGTAACAACAATCGGATTAATGATGAAAATAACGAGTCACCTCAAACTTTTTGGTGAGCATGCATAACACAAGTACGTCACCTTGTCCATCCTTTGAAATTGCCATATTCATGCTGACACGACAGCGTAACAAGAAGTAAACGTAAGAATGTAATGAACGAATGGGTAAGAGAAGGAAAGGCTTCGCATACCAGAGCAACTTAGGCTTGGGTAACCCAGAGGCATCATCTGCAACAACAGGTTTCTTTGAAAGAGGAGCAAAGCCTCCAAACAGAACCCAGAATTGCCCAGTGTCTGCCTCAGTGCCGAGCGTACCATCGTCTGCAAGCCCATTGGAGTAGTTCCACCTCAAATCTTACGGAAAGAAATATTAACTCACATATCCAGGAAGTAATCACATGTGATCGTTTAAACCACTACATGAAATTTAGGTTTAAATATGATATTAGGAAGCTGTAACGTAACCCATTACCTATAATTACAATTTCGCATTTTCCATCATGATCTGTATCCTTGATATACTGGACCACTTCAAGAGCTTTCCCCCTCTCTTGAATACTGGAATTTTCTCCATTGAATTGGAATATTGTTGATTCCGTGTCCAGAACAAAAACATCGTCATGGTTCAGTGAGGAACGAGCAAATGGCACCTGTGGTGAAAAAGGCAATTACACAAACATTCAATTAGGACTAATGAAACTGAGTGAATAATTTGTGGAAAGCATACAACCTAAGACCTTATTAGTTTCCCGATGAAATGAAGGACACGGATACATCTTGCTACCGAAAGACATATCAAGACCTCCTAATAAGGATGTATCATTTTGGACACAAAGAGTCACTTTTTCCGCCGTGCAAAGGTTGTCATCACCAGGAAATAGTACTAGTTCTCTCTATACACTTTCATTACACTTTGGGCCCCAAGAGTATCTTAGCATCAACCTTTCTACATAAATATCGGATGCAGAAGTCAGGGAATAACGAGGATGAAACGTATAGAATTAGCATGGAAAGCTTCCAAACCTGTGTAACTCTGACAGTGCGTCTTCCTTTTACAATGAATAAACGAGGCTCAACCTTCCCAACTTCCACTTTCTTGAATCCAGAAGCAATACCGCCTTCCATAGGAACAATACATGGTTTGAAATAAGATAGAAAGAGTTCTGTTTCGTGCTCCTGAGTTTCTCTATACTGAACGGCGCGACCACCTAACGCAGCATCCAGCTCAACGGTCTTAATTGCTGCTGTACCAGCCTCATCCTGTCAGGGAGATCCATCATACAGCAACTGATTAGCACCTTAAGTACTAACCGCGCTTAGGGTTATTTTGGCTGCGTCGAAAAATGATAATCAAGTTTCCCCTTTACAAATAGCTCTGAAATTATGAAGACCCCAAATACTAGCATGAGTATTACTCCACATCTCAGAAGTGCTTACAATTTCAGTTCTTTAAAGGTGACGCAAAATGGGGGGAAAATATTAAGCATACAGTAACTAAAAGTTGTTAAAAGTGATGCAAAGATATTTCGCAATCCGTTCCACAACTTATCTCTTAATCGACAACATAAGACAGAACGCTGTTGCACAATATGTCCGCCAGTCAGAGTACCTGGCTCGTGTCCTTTCCCAGCCAAAAGTGAATATCGTAGTGGAACCCTCCAGTTTTAAGTGCGGTCGTCTGTTACCAAAATATCATAACAATCAATCATGAAGTTTTAAGTCAAAAACAATGACCACCTCCACAAACGATGGTATGTACAACTTTAAGATGCACATCAATGTGACGATACAGGATAGAGTTAAGTTTCACAATGTAGCACCTGGTATCGGATTTAATGACAAAATATCGTATTCATACAGAACTACGGGGATTAATGCTAAGTTCTTAGGAGAGTCCATGTTCAAACAGAGAGGGAAAAATTACCTTGAGCACAATGTAAGAATCTCCTGAATAAAATTTTCCATGAAATTCCTTGAGCAAGGGCACTGGTTTGAAATTCTCAATGCGCCATATGTCAATTCCTCTGCACGTGGAGTCAAAGAAACTTTTGCCAAAACTTGATTCGAGCTCAATGTCTCATCCATGCTACAAACCACCTAAGAAGATCGAACATGAGGAATACTACACCCTTGCGAATGACAAAACACTGTAAAACTCAAATTAAATTCATCAATAGATTCTGCAAAGATATAGCAGACTATGAAGGATACGGTTTCTGGCCAACTCCTTGGAATGCGACGTCCACATTCTTCATAGACACAGCCATCAGGCTGCTCTTGACAATTGCTTTGGACTCTATATGTTACCCTCCGATTCAGTTGCATAATCGTTTGGGAGTTACTGAAATTCGAGGCATATGCACCTGGAAGAACAGGGGTTAGATCATAAGCTGATTTGACTCGTGAACACATACCCCACAAGGTATCCTCGAAATACAGTATGAATCAAAAGATTGTAAAAATGTTTCTGAAACGTCGCAAGTACTCGATCCAACGAAAGCCCTTGTCGACGTGGGAAACAACTAGACTGAAGCAAATTGCTCCTCATACTCTCACCATCTTCTCATTGCACAGAATAACTTCAAATCTTTAGAGTTGGACAAGTGTAAGAACATTAATCAGAAGGAAAAACAGGTCCAGTACAGGATCAAAAGAATGAAAATTATAAAACCAAGTGTTACCGCAATCAGACAAGATAAAGACACGAAGTGCAAACCATTCGAAACCTCAAACGAAGTGTGTGTTCAATAGTGCGGAACCGGAGGATCGTCGCAGAGGATGAAACAATTAGAGCTAAGTATATTCTTAAGGAATGGATTCTATACTCCGATTAAAAGAAGCATTGTGAGGGACGAAACCTGGACCCTAAGGTTGACTAGAAGAATTAAGCTTTGTATGCTAGTCTGATAAAATCAAGTTTCCCTACTCAGAAGTAACATCGGTCACAATAGTAACACGTTGCTAACGAACATCATCCACCCCAGAAGCACATTGGACTTCGATGCTATTTCCGCCAAGCCATTACATTCCCCCACAGTGAGGCCGAAAATGCGATGGACCAAAATACTCGAACGGAAAACTACGATCACGCAAGTTAGACAAGCAAGTTGGTGATTGGCAAGTCCAGAGGACCGCTGTAAGGTACTATTTAAGAGCATTCGGTTATAACCTAATCTCAGTTCAATGCACATCTTTATCCTGATAGCACTACATCTACAAAACCGGCAGTACCTAAAAATCGGGCAGAGGTAGTTGCAAGCGTTAACAGGGAACAATCCAGAAAGGGACAAGAGAATTATTCTCTTCTCAAAAACCAGCCAGAGCAGAATAGAGAGTACACACAGTAATACACTTAAGCTGACACTAGTGAAGCGCAAGGACGTCCTGAAGAGAATGCTGCACTTCGATTTAAAATGTGGGAAAAGTAGAATAGCAAGTGGGAAATGGAGACGTAATAAAATGTCTCCAGGGCACTCAAATTAAAATTTTGAAGTTCTGTGATTACAAACTTGATACTTGCCACGAGGTTTATTCCCTTGTCACTCCTGATAACGTTCCAGTTTACCAGACATAGGCAGTTCGCAGAGAAAAAAGCCACATCTCTTTATTCATAGTAAAATGCAGCTAAGAACGTTGTATGTGCGTGAGCGAGCGAGAGAGAGAGAACGTATATGTGTGTTGATCTCCAATACCAAGTTCTGTATCAAAACGTCTTGCACGAAAAGAACTATCAGAAGAAAAAAAATCAATGTCGCATGCAAAATACTGTTTTCATTTTGAGTACTCGCTTCTCTTACACGCCAGCGACAATACAGGCCGCACGTCCTAAAATCAGGATCTAGTCCAAGGAAAAAATAAATAAATAAATAACGAATACCACGAGGGCTCGCCTCCGCACTCTCCAACGACACATAAGAAGTCCCACGACCGGCCGGAGCACCTGAAGAGATCAAAGCGCGAGAAAGCAATCCCCGAAAAATGACATCTGAACTTACTAATCGATTCTCAGTCACAGCAAAGTTCAATTCGAGCGCACAACGCACCTCTCAATCCCCCGAAAATCCACACAGCAACCAATGAGTTAGTAGCAACAGCACTTCGTCCTTACGAACCTCATCGCTCCATGACAGATGCGTCGAGAAACGACCGTCACACTGATCCCTCACTCAATACGAAAAATTCAGATCTCCCGCTCACAGCACCTGATCACGCCAATCCAAGCCAATCACGCAGCACTGCACCACGATTACTTGCCAGACCCGCAGCTCTGGAAAACCCCGTGATGAACAGCCCTCTCCGCTGACAGATGATCCTCCTCCTCCTCCTCCTCTTCAAGCTTCTGCTGCAAAAATGTACTCCCCGAAGGCAGAATTTGACAGAGAGCAGCACCACGATGGATTCCAGGCTCCGCGTGGTGGTGAAGCACCCGCCCTAAGGAACGAGAACCTTCGGTGCAGGCAACGCGAGCCGGGCAATGGGAGTGTGAGAGAGAGAGAGGCTCGCTCGCAGAGGGCAGTGGCAAGCTCCATGCAGGGCTCGATGTTTTTGTCTCCACGTCGGGGAAGACGACGAAGGCCTTCGTTGTCACCGAAGCCATGGCTCCTCGTTCACTCTTCGTCCCACTCACACTGGCGGACATCCCCTATCCCTTGAGTCAAATGCTGCAAACTTTTTTACAATGGATCAATATAAAAAAGATTTGTCTGACTTCAAGTTCAAATCATATCATTCATCGTATGCCAGAAAATATTATAAAGATTGAACCCAATACACCCTCGCAATAAAGTTCCTGTTTTTTTCTTTTTCTCTTTCCTTGTTTTGTTCCAACATATCTGTAAAACATAAAGAAAACGTTTTCTTGTTATGCAATTTGAATGAGAACTATGCAAATACCGAAGATGTAGATTTCCTAAAATCCAATAGGGTAGGGTAGGGTAGGGTAGGGAAGGGGTGGATTAGAGTGGGTATAAAAGGCTTGGCAGGGTGGGTTAGCTGGCTAGAGCTTGGCTGTCTTCAGTGAGCCTCGACATAGTGCTTCATGCACACCTGGCTCAGTGAAATCCTCGCCCCAGCTTTTGGGTTCGATCCCCCACTTGCGCATGTGTGGAACTGTGTGTGCAAGCGTGTGGAAGTGTGAGTGTGTGTTAGTGAGAGTGCGAATGAGTGAGTGAGTGAGTTAGGGTTATTTTATCAGATTTGTAATGGGACTGCGCGGATGCCCTTCCACCACCCCTCAAAGCCAGCCAACCCTGGTCCGAGCCTCCTCCTCGTTCGGTATGGACCCAAAGCTGAGACCAGGGAGTCACGTTTGGGCACCGAACCTGGTCATGACTGAGTCATCTCAACCTTTGGATGGTTGAGATGTTAGAATTTGCAAACAAAAGATCGTGTTTAGAGAAAGCAACTTTTTATTACTTTTTGCTTTTTATTTTTATTTGTTTGTGTGTGTGTGTGTGTTCTGGTTCAATTCAATTGTTTTGAATGTTTGATTGAGCTATCAAGTAAAAATGCCTTGGATATGTATTCCAACTTTTTGTCCCAAAATGTGGACACACAATTTGCACTTTAGGTGAGTCCCAAGTTGGCCACAACTTCCAACATGAATTGACCCCTTGGATTTTTGGACAATATAATCTATACTACTATAACATATTAACAGAAGAAAAAAATAATACTAACATAAATACACATGATTGTTGGAATGATGTTGTTGTTACAACTATTGCTATTAGAAATCAACATTTATTATTTTATATTTATTATTGGTTATTTGCTCGAGAGAATTATATAAATGCATTACAAATTAGATATGTGTTTCTTACCATATATTATTTTTACATGTTTACTAAATTAGAATATAAGATATAGTATTTTAAACTTTTTGATAATTAATATCTATAAGTATAGTTTAAAATATACTACTACTAATATATGTGAGTCCCAAGTATATGTAGATAATGTATAAAGAAGCAAATATGTGATTGAATAACTTATGGTTTTTAAAGATTCTTTTATTCTAAAATATTTTATCTAAATTTAAGGGAAACTATGATAAAAGACAACAAAGTGGTCAACATTTAAGAGATACTAACTATTTGGAAGAACATCACATTAGGTTTTTGATTTAGATTTTAAATATATATCATATATATCTGATATAAGAAATTCATTGGCTTTACTCAAATCATTGATTTTAAATGATAAATATTTATGTGCTAAAAGTATATTAAAGATTGATACAATTTTGAAAAAATTATGAAGATTATGAAGTATAAATATATATATATATATATATATATATATATATTGCAATAATATTTACTTATTTATTTTGGAGGGTGAGAGAAAATTATACTTGCTTGAATCTATATAAAGTCCCTTGATTGCATCATCTACTAGGGTACACCATTATAGAGTGTTGTGGAAGCCTTACATTTTTACAACTTGTAATGAGACCCTAATACAATGTCCCTTGCAAAGATAGAACTTTATTGATTATTCCTTGCAAAGGTTAATGCATCATCAATTTGTTTAGCCAATGGTATTTGCAAGTTTAGTAACAATAGTTGTTTACAAATTTACAGATACAATTTCACAATTTTGCAACATACTAAACAATTTTGTAATTCAAAGTGCATTTTAATACAAAAGTTAGAATTATATGTTTGTATATATTACTTCTCAAAATATATATATATATATATATATATATATAGAATAAAATCATGTTTCATTGTTATAATCAATTAATCCAGATAGTGTCATATTATTATTTTTATTTCTTGTATATATATATATATATATATATATATATATATATATATGAAATTTAATTTATTGTATCAAGCAAGGCAGATAATTTTTTGAATAAATTTGTACATATAAATGATTTCTCATATAAAATTTTACTATGATTAACATTTTTCAAAATTATTCTAATGTTTTACAACGTTTCTAATGAAGTTGATATATGTTTAATTTTTCCCATTATGAATTTTTATTTAGATTTTTATGATCAATGCAAATATCAATACGGATCAATTCCATTATGTGTTGATCTATATAAGTTTTGTATTTAATCATGTAACTTGATGTTTTAAAACAATAATTTAATCTCTTTTTTTATTTGAGATCTATTTGATTTATCAATTCATGGATTGATAGTGTTTTATAATTTAAAATAAAATAAATCAAAATAATTTTTGTATTAAGTTTTACTTGAATGGTTATTAAAAAAAAATTTAAATTTAAAAAAAAAAATATATATATATATATATATATATATAGAATCAATTAGAGGCTCATGCATTTATCATAAGGTGTCATTGTGTGAATTCAACACAATAATAATCCAGTTGCATGAAAGTAATCACAAAGAACAAGATGCAGATAGTGATTGAGAAATAAATGATATTTAGTGTGACTGTTCTATACTTTAAAGTGGTTAATGTAGTTTATTGATATCATCACAAGAATTGAAAGTAGTGAGGAGAAAGTGGCAGGTCAAGTAAGTAATTAAGAAAAATAAGTGAAAATGGGTGTTGAGTAAATTATAAACTCAAGTATGTACACACAAGTATAGGTTGTTATTATTATTATTATTATTTTATTTGATCTTCTTCTTCTTCTTCATTTCCTCCACCTCCCCTAAAGTTGCTATTTATGGAAAGTTAGTAAGCCTAAGTTTTTGAATGGATTGAGAAAGAATCAAGCTTTACAAAAATGATGCAAGATTTGTAGTTTTTACTTAATGATAACATGAATAAATGCAGAAATAAATTATGCCAAAAGAAGTGTACTCCACCATTCATCATCTCCTACATTTTATATTATGAATTATGTGATCCATGAGGATAATGAATTTGACAGAATTTAATGCCAGAAAGTTACTGGGTGTCGGAAGGTACGTGTTGTCAGAAATTCATTATTGTGTGATACTTATTTATTTATTTATTTATTTATTTATTTATTTATTTATTTATTTATATCATTTTCTTACACGTTTATAAACTGTTAAAAAGCTGTCAAGAATCGAGTTAATACTTTCTCATTTTTGCTATTTTTGACGTTGCAAGAAAATGACTGGATTTTTTAATATTAAATTACATCATAATTTTTGAAAAAAAAAGTGATGAATGAATTAGTACTCCATTCTTATCCAAAGAAAGCAATGAACCTTTGATTTTCAAACTACTTGTTGAGGTATTTATTTAAACAAAATTTAGGACTTTATTTTCATCAGCATTCCAGAAATGATTTGTATGTATGTATGTGAACACACGATTTTCGAAAATTCCACCTGAAGTTTCAGAGAATACATTATTATTTGAAAAAACAATTTATGAATTAAAAGACTAGAATTTTAAGGATAAATTAATTACAGGATGTCATATAGAGTTTTTGTGTGACTGAATAATTGCTATTTAATAATTATTTAATTAAATTTACTTTTATTTAAATGATTAAACTCTAATATTTTAATTGAAACATTATTTTTAAAAGGCCACTTAATTTGTTTACATATATCAAAATTTAAACTGAAATGAAACTCTTGTGAAAATGACATAAACATTGTATCACTTGGTATGATAATTTTTTAAAAGTTGAAGCTTTTCTTGATTAAAATTTATTTTCATCAATAGATTCTATTTAATATGTATGAGTGTATATGTATATATATATATATATATATATATATATGCCATCCATCCATTTTCATGTTCAACCATGTTTGGCCAATGAGAAGACTTCTTTATGTCTTTATCTTATACCTAAGTTGTTTTATATGTAAGATATGAAGGAAAAACAAATAAGAATGTCATTTGCTAAATTTTTACTCTTTCTAATAAAAAAAAACTATAAATCAAAAGTCTTTGTTCTTATGTATGATATACATATATATACTTTACACATTGTTATTTAGTACACATTTTGAATCAAACCACTATGTATTGATTTAATTTCTAAAATGTGTATAAGTATAGAAATTTAATTCTATTGCATAATAAATAAATAAAAAAAAAAACCATATAATTGTGAAATGACATAAAATAATAAAAATTTATTCACATCATTCATCATATTTTTCAATTTGTTGATGTAGACTTCTACAGTTTTTCTAGATATGGTTCTTTAAAATTTAGTTTATTTTCAATGATTTTAGTTTTAAGAATTGAAGAAATATCTGAAAAGTTATTACTGGATGATTATCACGATTAAGAACTAATAAGAAACCCATAATTCATGAAATTTTACACTCTTATTCCTGCATCCACACTCATTCTGTTACCTGGGTTTCAAGTTTTAAATCCTTCTTAGACATATCATACTATATAACTTTTAAAATTGTGCTCTGAAACTTCCACCTTCATATGTTTGTTGGTAGTTTTACACCACCATTTAGAATTATATCAGCATCTTTTTTTTCCACGTTTAAAATGTGTCTATTATTATTTTTTCATGTAGTCACATACATACATACATGTATGTGTTTGTTTTTTAAATATTTAAACTATTATCTAAATGTTTTATTTTTAAAAAATTGGGCTGTATTTTTCAAGTTGTACAAAGTCAAAGCCTTTAAAATCTGCAAAGCATTACTGGAAGGCATTTATTATATTCATCACGTTTATGACTCTTTTGTTTTTGAATATTGCCACAGTTTATTCCAGTTTCTACTAATTGAAAAACTCAGTGCCTTTAAGAGTTCGATTGGTTCTTTCATATTTAATTTTGTACAAAATGAAATGAAGTATATGTGAAGTCACGCTCAACTGATTTTTTGAGTATAATTTTTTAAATGTTATTTTCAAAAAAAAAATCAAAACTTTATGCTTGACATTTACTTGTTTTTTATGTCTTTCTTTCCTTATTCACATACTTCAATTAATTATAATTCCGATTTTTTTATTTTTATATATATTCATAAAAAGTTTTCAACAAGTAATAATTTTTTATAATTTCAAGAGCATTTACATTATCATTATGATGCACACCACAAACTGTGAATATCTTCATAAAAATTCACTTTAGCAAAGAAAACAATCACAACTCAAAGAAAATGTATCAACCTCAAGCCAAGTAATTTAAAAAAAAAGTTAAAACAAAACCTACACAAAAACATTTGAGTCATATTTGCAATCAAACAAGTTTTTATCAGTGCCGGTGTGAAACTCCTGAATATTACAAGTTATGAAAAAAGCAGAAGCATAAAAATGGCCATCAAATAATCAATGCACCACGCATCCAAACACCTATGTTCACATTGTTATCTCCCCATGTATTAATCAACAATAATTGGGATATTCAACACACACACACACAAACTCACACACACAGGATTTGTTTTGTAGACATCAAACTTAGTGCACGCTGATGTACACATTATAGACACAAAAAGAGATACTTGTCTCTGGTCGAAACAAGGATCTGAATGCAAACCCATAGCGAAGGGAGGCCACTGGGGTTCATGCTAGCACACTAGAATGCTTGTGTGTGCTTTGTTTGTTTGTTTGTTTGTTTCTGGACAGATGCTTGAAGCTGGAAGAGCAGTGACCGAGCCAGGCAGCTGCAGGGGAGTGATCGAGCTCCCACATACTCCCAGAACCGCAGAGCACATGAGGCCAAGCACCCTCGGACACTGCATTGATGGGGCTGTGAGTAAGAGAGTGAGTGAGTGAGTGAGTGAGTCCTGGGTGCTGGTCATCAACTCCCTCAGTCCCTCCGTCTCTCCCTCCCGCCATTCCCTGAATGCAGAATCATTGCTCTTCTGGTCGATTCCTCACGTTTGCATGTTCTCAGATCCCTGCTGGGCTTTAACTTGCAGCCGTTTTCTATCCTCTGGCTGGACTCTGATGTTACCAGGCATCTGCAACGGGTCAAGAGTTGTCCTGTGGATGGGTTTTCAGCTGCTGTCGACGTGTTTGCTGTGAATGAAACTATCTGGCACTGCTGGGTTTGACACGCAATTTGAGCTTTATTTCCAATTGTTTTTATTTATTTGTTTATTTGTTTCTCATCAGCCGAGGGCGTTGAGAGTGAGTTCACGGATGTCGAGGGCAGAGTGTTTAGAAACGGATTGAATTAGCTGTTATCTTATTTCGAAGTCCAAAGCCTTATTCAGCTGCAGGAAAGTCACAAAGACCACAATTCTAGGGATACAATTGTAGATTTTCTAAAACCAATGAGAGAAACTTAAAGGGACCAGTGTAAGCTACAGCAAAATCAAAGTTGATCTTGACCTTGGTTCAGGTTTAAGGATTGCAGAATCCATTACAACTTTCCATGCAAGGCAACCCCCTGGTGGATTTTGCAACTGAGGAGCTTTGTAGAAAGAAGGGTTTAAAAAAATGGGATAGAAACATGGTGACGAGAACATCGACCATCTTTTTTTCCTCAAGGTCATATCCATGTTCGACCACTCATAAAGTAAATCCCCTCAGCTCCAGATCGCGTACCTCCATTGCAATGCAAGCCAAGGTTAACAATCCTTGTTGAGGTTTCGAACCTCCCAAGCATGTGACCTTCAATAACAGCAACTCAAATGCTCGCAGACAGGCTGCGCCCGATCATCGTCTTTGGAAATGGTTACTAGCTTCGCCGACACCCAGTTCAGTCGCGGTTAAGTTCAGCATCTGACATGAATGTATCGCAAATCCATTTTCTGGTTCAATCCCTGAGCTCAGATCGTCGATCGAGAGCAGCAAAATTGGTCTGTGAATGTAATGCCAACTAAAAAAATCCAACGCGCGTTTTAATCGTCCCGTTTCATGTCAGTACAGTTCGAATGGCAGCGATTTACACCTCAATACTGACTTCGAAAAGTAAAGTTTGAGTGTTTTAAACCACATTAAAATGGCTGCAGATTTGGAAAAGAAACCTTGATGTGATGTGATTTTATTTCAGTTCCAAAATTTGGCACTTTGTTTTTAATTAGATTGTGGTGATTACTATTCTTTGTCATTAAACATTGTATAAACCTGGCCATGATTAGTAATTACAATGTTTTCTGCTATCAAACATAAAAGTTTGTAATTCTTTTCAAATAATCTGTATATATACATATATATATATATATATATAAGCGCAAAGACATTAATCATGTGATATTTCTTGAATAGCTAAAATTTGAGACAAAATTTAGTTGTTAAAATTTGATAAGTAGTTGATTTTATTGATGCATTCAGACAGACATCAATTCTTATGTTCATTATTGAAAGTTGTAATGTATTATTAGAATGATCAGATACAATAAATGTCACTCTTTCAAATGAGATTTTACATTACTCAATTAATTATTATTCAAAATTAGAAAACTAAAAAGTAATACGATTTGAAATAGTTAAATAATTAATTCCTTTAAAAGTTAAATATGATTTCAAAATTAAAATTACTTATAAATTAATATATAAATAGTATCAATATTAGATTTTTAATTTTTTTAATTATAAACTAATCTATGTTTAATTCTGAATAAACATAAATTTATTTATCTATATATATATATATTTCAAATTATCATGCACAAATATTTATAGAGTTTTTTCAATTTAAAAATATTATAAATTATTATACTAGTACTTTTGGTTACAACTTCCAAATGTTGACATTTACATATGTTGGCCAACAACTTTGTTTAGTTTTCAACTCATTTTTAATGTGAATAACTTGCAACAATGGCTAGCTTGTTGAAACCTCGAGACAAATTAGGTAGTTGTTGAAAGTGACATAAAAGTGTTACTCTTTTATATTGTAAATATTTTAAATGTCATCTTTCCATTGACTTCATTGAGGTGGTTGTGCCATTTTAAAGTGGCTTCTTTTTACTTCCACATTGATGTTGACATCACTTGTTTTATTTAATCTTTTTTTCTATTTTATTACTTAAGAGTTTCTTAAAAGATTATAAAACAACAAATAAAGAAAAAAAGAAGAAGTAGGACAAGATGAAGCCACTATGGCCCATTCTTTGTGCTAGTCATGAGGATAAGTGCAACTTTTTCTTAAAAAAATCATTATTAGAATACTGTAGAATAATTGATAGAAGGAATAAAGATTAGGATTTGTTCTAAGTATTGCTTTTAGTAAGATACATTCTTAAAATCCTATATGGTGGATTAAAATGTACTTTAGTAGCAAAAATGTTTTTGGTTCTAATAATATGATGCAGTTCTATTGGTTATGTTAGAAAAATTAGCCCTTTTTTATGCTACTTTTTTATACTACTCTCACTGAGATTTGGTGGCCCTTGTCCCACTTCTTTATTTAATTATTTTCAAGATTAAATAATCTGATTTACTTTTTTTCTTCCTTGGTAATTTCTGAATTAATTTCGGTTGATTCTATTTTAAAATAAATTCGATTTAGACATGTGGAGTATTTTATAATCTTTTGTTTTATATATTTTTACTTCAGTATTTAAAAAAGAAGAAGTTTTTTTTTATTAATACAAAATTCATAAATCTTACCATTGCATGATATGATTAATGCCCTTATCAACCTTGTTTTGATTTGTAAAATTTTAACATCTAATTTAATAGTAGTCAAATTTCAAGTACTATTTTATTTTTATTTTTTTAAGTGAAGTCTAATTGCTGTAAACTACAGCTAAACTCTTTTTATCAATGAACTTTAATTTATTATTAAAAAGTAAAAAGGAATGTAATTGGAAGTTTTGAAAGGTTTGATATTAATTGCAATCACATTAATTAATGGGTTAAAACGTAGTGATTATTTTACATACGAACGAAATATATTTTTACAGATAAAAGCTATTGCACACACTTTTTTATTTTTATTTTTATTTTTTATTTTTACATGACTAAAAAAATTAAAAGTTTAGATTTTAATCAAAAGATAACAAACAGATGATGAACATGAATCAAGATTTATTTATTTATTTATTTATTTATTCTATGTCATAGTGCAGTGAATGATACCATTAATTAAATTGTGTTGAGTATATTTGAATCATTAAACATACACAACACATTTTGTAATGCTACAAGTAATTGATACAATTAAAAATTCAATCATAATATTTTGAAATCATGTAGTATGTAAACATTGCACATACAACTTTAGCCACGTGACTCACTAGACTTATGTTGTCATATGTACAGAAACAACTTGGAATTATATAAACTGTATTTTTTTAGTTTCAAGAGCATGTGAGAGAGCCATGTCTCTCATTTCAGTTCATACTTCATACAGGTTAGAATCGGCCTCGTCGTCCATACCTAAGACATCCCATCTTTTAACACAAAAGTATCCACAACAATAATACAAAAAAAGAAAAACAACCAAACTGCAAACATCGTGTTGTCATAAACAGGATTAATCTAGAAAGTGAAGTGCAGTTCCCGGTTGCCGGGGTGGTAACACGAAGAAACCACAAATCACACAAACATCGCCGTGTACTCAGATTAGAAAATCTAGTGATTTGTGGACAAGACAAGGGATTCTGTGGATACATCATCATCGTCTGCCATGATGCCACAACTTCTAGCCTACGTTGCAAAACTTCCATCGATGTGGATGAGACGCCGAACACTCGGTAAAAATACAAATACCCACATGGTGCAGGGGTAACGTAGAGCCTAGAGGAGGAGTCGGCGCCGCTGCAACCATCACAGCACCGACTGACAAGCGCAGATTGCTTGAATCCCATGCGTTGGTGCATCGGAAGCTGATCGTGCTGGATGCGTCACATGTGGGTTAACTTGCCGGAACCAGCATAGATGGTGGAAAACAAGGCTCAACAACCCCTGGTGCTATTGTGAGGCTGAGCCTCCTCCCTTAACCAGTCTCTTCTTCACCGACGATCGTCTGAAACGATCGAGGTGCCGGACCATGCTCTAGAGATGTCGACGCAATGTACAGATTCTTTAAGCTGCTGCAGGAGAGAGGCGGAGGATGGGGAGAAAGATGGCCTTCTTTCGCAACACTGGGGTGGGAGGGGGTGTCGTCGTCGATGGATTCAACAATCAGGTCGTGGAGAGGCCTCCCGTGAGGTTTGCAGCTAGAAGATGTTCTCTTTCTCAAAGGGATGACTTATTGATCCTCCGCCAATCTTAATAGGGGAAAAAACGGTTCTGTGAACCAGTAGTGAGGTGGTCACCATCGTGAGAAGGCTGGAATCGTGGTGACGTTCATAACAGCATGGGGGGTGGACTCTAGGTGACTGTTGTCGCTGATGTGGGCTCCCACACTGTCATCGCACGCACGATTTGGTTCTTCCATCCCATGAGGAACCAGCTGCCGTCTTCTCCGACGCCGTAGTCTTTGTGATATGATCCCATCATGGCCTTGATTTTAGAGGCGATGATGGGTGACAATGGCTTTTGTGTGAACCCAGCTCGCTGCGTGAGAGTCTGCCATTGTCTATACGGCTCGGCACGCTCCACTCTTTCCACTCCTTCACACGCAACGATGTTGAGAATTTCTCGTCCGTAAAACTCCCTCTCGAGGATCACTCGATCCGGGTCATTCGCGGGCATCGATACTTCCATGGCATCAAACATCGTGAAATAATATTTCATGCTTTCTCTAAAACGGGTCATGAAGAAGGGTGCGTTATAGTTCGCATTCACGGTCAACATAATGAATACCTGACGAAGAGAATACCAGGATGTTAGGATTGAAATACTCCCAACACACTCAAAATGTCTTCGTATATATGTGTGTGCATGTGCAAGTATATATATATATATATATATATATATATATGAAATTAATGGATGAAATGAGAGCAAGGGACCAGAATTGTAATATGCGCACCTTAGGATTCATAAATCGGATCTTTTCAAGCAGGAGTTTTCTAGGGCTAGCAGCCATTATTGATTCGTCCAAAAGGTTACGAAGTCTATACTGGCAATTTACCGCCAGCACCTCATCCTGATTCAAATTCAGGTGGGCAGAAGTGATTGATTCCCATTTATCAGCCAATGCATTAAACTCGAATGGGACTTCCCATAGTTGTGCAAACTCCGCCAATCTGCAGCCAACTTCTTTCACCCTCGCAGATACCTTCCCTCCCGGTTGCGGCAGATCAATACCTGAAACACGGGTGTAAAATTCATGTTCAGAGATCACTCCTCATAAAAATTACAAGTATAAGAAATAAAAACAAAAAATACTCTTTCCTGAAACTGGTTTTCTCAAATACAAAACTGATGAACTCACATCAAAGCTGCAGATTTCATTCTGCCGAAAGTACTGAAATTTGTTTCGGACGAATAGTTAATCACATCGTTAGACTTACATGTAATGCGCAGGTGAGGTGGCCCCCCTTTCCTTTGAGACAGGCGCTGGATGAGGCATGGCCATTGTGCTCCATACGCGACTCCGTAATCAACCAAATGCACTCGATCAGCACCTTCAAAGGCATCGAGAATAGTTTTGGTGGAGAAAAAGTGAGTAACCTTGATGTAAGGGCTGTAGTCAACAAACAAACGATGGGCTTTCAACATTGTCGCAGTTGATGGAGTGTTGCTAGTAATTGCCATGTAGAGCTGTGGACCTGTTCCTGACATCTTGGCAACCTGCAGGATTGCAACACCGAGAATTAAGTACTAGAGAAAGGCAACGCGTACATTGCTGCGTATCATGTTACAGTCCATCAGCCAAGCACATGAAGCATGAAGGAAGAGAAAACACCAAACATTTTTTTTTTTTTTTTTTTTTTTTTTTTTTTTTTTAATTTACTTGTAAAATAGTAAAAAAATAAGAAATAAATAAATAAAAAAAAACCAAAGCTTCATATGAATGGAAGAAACTAGTTGTGACATAAAACCCACCAAGGCTTCCATGTAGTAGTATGCCATCCGCTGAAGAGCAGTTCCGTGAACTGATGAATGCATCCGTAGCTCTCTTATCAAATCATTCGCAGTTCTCACATCGTCTTTACTCACGACAAACGCGCACTTGAGTAACAGTGTCTTCAAGTCCACGCAAACCGCAGGGAAAGCAGAGAGAGCGTCCGGCGACATGTCTTGGCCGAGGGAATCACCCTGGAAAATGGACGAACTTAGTGAACGACCTGTGGGGTTTGGCCGAAGACGTTCTAGGTACCAATCCCACGACTGATCCGAGTGGTCAGTGCACGCGTCACCCTCATTGACCCATGTGCTGGAATCCACGTTTTCAGAGACATCCGTGACATGCTTGTTAAGGTTGGAGGTGTATGCATGAATAAGCTTGTCCGCCACAGCTTCTTCGGTTGGCAAGATCCCCATGGATGCCCAACTCATGTCGTAGTCCCCGTCTGCGAAATCACTGCTACCGTATTCGGAAGCCAAGTTTGGCCTAGCAATATCGTCGAATTCCTTGGCTATGGCGTGATAATCAAATCCTTCTTGCAACGTGAACTTCTTCCCATCCATATTGTCCTCCGCGAGCATACCATCTAGGAATCGGACGAGTGGTTCGCTTTGACAGGCAAGATCTAAAGTGCCACTGATCGCATAATCTGCAACATCAAGAGGAGCATCGAATTCTTGATGTAATTGGACTGACTCAAAGCTAACCGTAGAAGTAGGGGAGAGGGAACCGGAACTAGCAGATGACAAGCTGGAATAAGATGAGGATCTCCTTTCTAAAAAATTACCAGACCTTGGCTTCTGGGGCTTGTCCGCTTTCCTTGAATACGAGACGAGCTGTGGGGTTTCAGGTCTCCTCGGAAACTCTGGCATCTCAAGCCTAGTCTTGTGGAAGTACAACTCCTCTTTTTCGACGACATTAGGGAACCCAGTATGGTTAGCGTGATCTGCCACAATTGAAGAAAGGTCCGACGCTACCTGATGGAACTGCTGAACTACTCGATTTTGCACAGAAACATCGTCTTCCCCCAGCGTCGTGAACCCCCTTTTCTGATGCTTTGGCGCCTGTGACTGAATCTGAGACTGAAGCCATGCCTGCTGCAATTGACTAGCTAGTGGCGACGTTTCCCTAGCTAAGGCACCCGATCTACTCTGCCGAGTTCCTAGCATCCCTTACGCGACTTCTGCACCCAGATCCGCTATTCTTTTCACCAACACTCCCTCACGCAACTCACAGTCCTTTCTCCTCACTTCTGTATGCCCCTTGCTACTCAGAAAACACATTCTTCCTGAAATCACTCCATTACAGTCAGATTCTCCGTTTGCAATCCCAGTTTCATAACTTGACTACTGAACATTCGTGTAGAATTCTCACAAAGTAACCTATGAGAGCTTCTCTATTTCACCTGAGTCCACACCCGGATTGATGTAGCCGAAAATGCTTCACCTATCCCGACCTCAGGTCGTTTTGACCCTTGTCTGGGTGCCTCGGTCTCCATAGCTTCGGGGACCCTCAACCAAGGGCCACAATTTCCGCGATGCACTTCCCATTCTAGAACTCACTGGCTGGACGCACCATCCAGCAGTCGGAGCCAAATTTAGTGCAATTCTAGGCACAACAACAACAGCCTCGAAGGCGTCATCCAGTGTTCGTTGTGAGTCTCGTTGCCTTGCTCCTCACTGCACCTATTCTAGTTATCCACCTAGCGATGCTATTTAGGACGAAAATTAATCAAGGCCCCGCGTCAAAGACTCAATCCGTGCTTGGTTGACCCAAACCCCATAGAAAGTAAAATATATTAGTCGATGCTCGTAGACTGTAAAATTTACATCAATGATCTTTACAATAAAGAATTGATTTCAGCGCTCGACGTGGAATCGTTTCAGAGGTCCGAGGCTGACTTAATCCGCCGCCCGGTTGGGCGAATCGGGACAGAGTGCCCCCGCAAAGCTGGCAGCCTGTGGAGAATTCAGAAATTATGCTGCTAGATCCCAACTTAGGGAATGGACCACTCACCTCCATCTCAATACCGACAACTGTTGGCACGCCTTGTCATGCAAGTTTTGGTGGCAGGCCAATAGCGGGGACTATATGGGTGCTTTACCATAAAGGGGCCTGCACCTCGCAAGTTGCAGGCCCAGAAGCAGGACAATCACTGCCATCTCTATTTTGTCCCTTTTCTCTTGTCGCATTCGGCTCTCTTTCTTTTTTGCTTCTGTTTCCTGTAACCAAACGAAATGGGCCAGGCTTTTTGTTGCTCAAAACTACGTGAATTTTCAGTCTCACCAGGGCAGGCGGGTGCTCCAGGACCATGAACTCAAAAAGTTTCGTCTTCTCCCACATCCTGGTGGACGATGCTTTCGTCCTCAGACCATTCTCTCAAGAGAATTTGAGAATTACTTTCTATGTGCATCGGGTTTGTTCGTTAACATTCATGTGTGTCTCCGCTTTTCTGAAGGTGAGTGATCCGTTTAATTCCACTGCCCTCGAAGTGGCTCTTATCTATCGTGCATTCCATGAAAGAGGACACCTTAGCAAATATGAGATTAGGGGGCAGCGTCTAAATGCTTTGTTGTGCAGACTGCAACCCCACCCTTTTTCCGAAAATTCCATGAAAAAAAATTGGAATCTCCTCAGGGTATTGATTTTCCAGACAAGTCTTTTTCTACTCACGTTGAATGTCCGTTTTCACATTGAAGGTCGTTTGCATTTTGGAAAAAATAAAGTGGCTCGTTTCAACAGTAATTTAAAACGTTGAGTGTGAAAATGTGTAGAGCGTTTCTGGTTTCTTGGTCGGCGTTGATTCCTCTGCACTGAAATCCATGTTCCAGTGTGAAAATATCATCTCCCATGCTACGAGGCAGTTCCTTCTTATTCTTCAAATGAGCACATATTGTACTCATTTGTTAAAGATTGTTATAGAAGCACGACGCGACCGTGCAAGAACTTCCATGACTGAGGAGCTAGCATCAGACAATCAATATTATAGAATTCTCATATCCAAATGGGGGATGTAATGGCTTTTCTTTGTTATTTGGGTTTCCACGATGCAGATTAATACAAAATAGAAGAAAAATCTTCTCCACAGGCTGTCACTCTTTTTTCTTATTACTTAGCAGATTGAACCCGCACATCACGATGGAAAACTTCGGCAGATTGAGTGTGAGTTGTGGTAGAGAGTTTCCAAATCCCACGTAGGTTCACACCTACCAACCATCATGCACCAGAAGGGGAATACTGCACACCCGACCGTTTGTGTTCCACACAATTTATTTATTTATTTATTTCTTCATAATTGTCTCATTGCTTTTTTGAACCTAGGATCGAAGCTTTCTCGACTGAAGGACTTACCAAGCGCGGACACGAGTTTCTATTCTTGGAACACACAAGGGCGATGGTCGCTGTTTGCACGAGTTGTTTTTTAAAGCTTGCGAGATAATCGCTAAATATTTTTTTTCTTCCATTTTTAATAGATGACATTTTATTTCTTTCGGTTTGTCCGCATCACGCTGTATATATTCGCCGATAAAAGCAGCGACTTGTTGTAGCTATCTCTCTGTATCCCAGCTTAAAAGGAGCTGCATGTCTCATCCTTTGCCGGAGTCTCCCGGTCCTGGGTCATGTGACTGACCTAGATCTGAAGCCTTAAACCTCGTGTCAGGGGATGGTCGACCCTCCAACGCATGTATCGATTGCGTAGACTGTAACAGTGTTCTGTCTGAAAGTGTGATCCATCTCTAGTGGAATCAAGCCAACTGGAGCATTGCAGCTTGATGGAATAGAAACAGCTCCAAATGCAGGATGCTTCTTACTTCACGCAATCAACTCCCTGATTCATACATAAGCAAGGAATGTTAATTATTTGTGAGGATGGCCAAATCATTTGTGTTGAGCGATTCTGGTGGACTTACTGTCGTTCAGTCCATCGATGGCTGGCACGTTTCATCATAGTACACTGACCAACCCCCACCCCCACCACGGATGATGATGAGTGCTGAGACCATGGATCCAAGCGTAGCAATGTCATCATCAAATCCTTAAAAATAGATCAACTCTTATAATTATGTCGCAAATGTCAGTAGTGGCTAGAAAAAACCCCGAAGTCATCAGAAGTTTCAGCAATTCCAGACATACGACGACATTGTGGCTGTCCAGAGGTTGGGGTCCAGCACTTAACGATATGCGCTTAGAAAGCTGGAAGGATAACATTGACTTGCACGATCAGTCTACGCAACGGATGGCGTCATCGCACTACACCTTTTGTGACGCGTCGAGTGCGTCACAAGCGCGCCGTCACGGGACAGGATACCATTCCTGTGCATTGGCGTGCTGCATGGCGGTGATGGATGCCGGAGTCGTGGGCGGGGTCCATTCTGGGTCACCAGACTTTGGTTGTTATATTTCTATTCACTGGATTTGGTCATTTTCGTTATGTTCCTTGGTCATCATTAACCCTGTGTAAAGCCAGCCTCGATCCTAACTCGATTCCTAAACTGGATTCTAAATCAACGCCATCCGGAAAGCATGGAATCATCGCTGACGGGGTGTCCACGCAATGCCAGCGCAGTGAATGAGCGTTAAGTCTTCGAGTACAAACTGGCCTTGGCTTTGAAGACGACGGAGTCCCGGAAGGTGGACAGTTCGAAAAAGGATCCAACGCTCCCGTTTCCTCATACTTGCAGATCGCTTCGAAACCGTGTCATTTGATCATCGACAAGTTCCGGTTGAATTCTGTTGCTCCGAAAGGTGATGTGAGATGTGACCGTTGCAGCGATACCCACACGTCGAAGAATTAATCTCGTCCACCCGTTTTCGCAATCTGGCACACTATTCATTCGCGAACCACCCCAAATGTATTTGGTCATTGAACTCTAGATCGAACTCACGGTGAGAAGTGTGCACCGATAAGATTCTTCCTCGAAGGACGGCAATTGATATGCAAGTTGAAAATCGCGAGATCGATTTAAACCTGTCCACTCGTCCATCCTCGAAAACATACGTCACCATGTCTCGGGCATACTCACCATCCGTGCATGTGAAATCATCCTGCAACACCCAACTGGTCCTCTAAAATCCGTGGCTAATCAGGAATCTCTTGTTGAGTCCATTTTTCAACTTCAGCAGCAGCGACATCCTCCCATGAAGTGACAAGTTCTTGCGTGACGCTCTGCAGATTCCTAATCTGACACTCAGTTTTTCTGACCGAGAAATAAATCTACAGGTGGACTGATCTGTTGTTGGCTGCGCCGAGCATCGTCATCCACTGCATTTTTCGCGAACTGTTTAGCTTTGTCTTTTCCACTGCTACAAGCGAAGATTGTTGATCGGGATCAATGTACTTCGACGCGAACCGCATCCTTTGGGTCAGAATATGTGCGATTATTGGTCCCCACTCTCAGCAGGGTATTGGAGCGGTTTGAGACACCATTGTTGACGATGTCCTCTCATCCACTGTATCAAAACCTTATTTGGACTTGAAGACAATCAGAAAGGCAACTCGCACATGGCTCTGCCAAGAAGAACGATTAAATCTTTATGGACATTGAATAGAACCCGAAGTATGCGCAATTCAGTGTCAACGGTTAATCAAGGTCCATGTGCAATGAGGACCTTATCTGCAAACTTTTCTGGAGAATTGTGAGAACGGGGTCATGATTGGCTTCACAGATGAAGCTTTTCTAGTTTTAGGATTCTTCAAGGACGTAAAAGAAAACTTGGACAGCTAATATCAGACAAAATGATACAGTGACTTTAATATAGTTCGCTGAATAAACAATTATCGACGACGCTTAAAGCATCACTTAGCTCTTGTCATGGTTATAACTTAAGACATCCTTTGTGAAGAGGTTCGGAGACTGAAGATGTATGCATGAAGTTTACAAGACAAATTTCAAACCGCTTGAGGTTAGACTATGCTTGAAGTTATGCCCATGCTGGTTTGATATTGATAATCGCTCCAGTGGAACTAATTCTGATTTGAAGTAAACGAGCTCCGTTGATCATTAAGCTCTCGCCTCTTGCTTACCTTGACGGAAAGAATGGAACGTGCATTCTAGGTCCTAATTAAACTTCTACATACTAGTCAAACAACGGATAATGACATGTTACATAACACCAAAAAGATGGTAATTATTTAGTTTAGTTTTAATTTTTTTGCATCTAGTATGCATAGTATGCCATAGAACCATTGTCTAAGTAAATTATGTCTAATTAAATTATAATCTTTATTGTAATGATCTACTTATAATTTCTATTGTAATGAACTACCTATAATGAACTACCTATAATGATCTACTCATAATTTCTATTGTATTATTGGCCATTTAGAATACGTCTCATCTATTTAGAAATGTATCATTTTGACTATAGGATTTAAAAACTTTAGATGATATTTCTTTCTATGATATGTAATTATGTATTAACAATCCAAAATATCACATTTTTAGTTTTATTCTTTAATTCAAAATTTCTTAATATTATGTCAAATTATTTTTATTATTATTATTATTTTTTTTACATAAAAAATCTTGTAAGAAAACTCACACGATTTGAAATTATTTAAATCTTGGTGTTAAATATTTTGTAAAAATATCTTGTTTTTATGAAGATGTATTTTACAATTTCTAATTGTTTAAATTGCTAATTAATTTATATAATAGTAATATTTCCCAATTTTTTAGCCTATGTGCTTGAACACAAAACTAAAATCTATAATGTAATATTTTGATGTAAAAATATCATATATAATATTGTACTTGAATATTAATATTGATTTATTTCTTCTATGCATTAGTAAATATTTATTGATGTTATACAAGTCATATAATTGTGTCTTATTTTTTAATCTAAAATTTGTATAAAGATATTTTAAAATAAAAATATAACTTAAAAATAGATTATTTCACTATTTAAAAATTTTATAGTTTATTGAGTCTTAAAAATCTTTGAATAGTATCAATTTTACTTCAATTGTATATGTTGTAAATTTTGCTTAACTATTTATATATAGATAAATAGATTAATAATAGTTTAATCTATAGAAATTATTTTGATAAACTTAGGCTATTTGGTTAAATTTAATGAATTTACTAATTAAAAAAAATTAGTTTAATTTTTTTTTTTAATTATTAAAAAATATTTTCTATATATATATTTTGGTCTAAATCTTCCTAATATATTAGGTTATAATTTGTATATGCATAATATTATTCAAGAAATATCTAGTTGTCATTCACTTAATATTGTGTATTTAAACTATATCAACTAATTTTTTAGAATTTTGGATTATTTTAAAATTAAAGATTATATTTAAGTATTTTTTTAATTAATCTTTTAAAAAAATTAATATCTTGTTTAAATATCTTTTGACAAAAAATACTTAAATATAAATATAGGTTATTTGATTTTTTTAAAAAACTTTTTATATAAATATAAACTAGTGAAATCAATAATAATATATATATTTTTAACTATGACCATCCATTTACCTACTTAAAGTCTTGGATGGCATTGATAATCTTGTTTTTAATTTCTAAAATCTAAAAAAGAATTATTTTGTAATTTAAAGATTAAAAATGATAATTTTTAGCATCATTTTTTCTTACCCTTTATTGTCTATTATTGATAATCAATTCATAATTGTAGATGTAACCTATAAAAAAGTATGTATGTAACATTTTTGTTGGATGTATTTGACTTGAATTCAAGTATTTTATAATTTATTTTATTTTAAGTATCATATTTTTAAAATTTTGATAAAACTAAAACAAAGAAATGAAATATTAATAAGACTTTAAATCTTATAATATATATATAATTTTTAGAAGCTAATATCCATCTTAATATATGAAATAATATCTAAATTTTAATCTTTTTCATTATTTTTATTTATCTTTATTACTTATAAGTAAAGTATACATCTATATTATAGAAAGAAAATTGATAATTTTACCTATAGTTCAGTTATTTCTACCTAATATTGTATTGCATTCAATACACTTTAGTTTTTATTTTTATTATTATATTTTTGTAACTTATTAAAACATAATTTTGCTTTGATGAGTGCTCTAATGAAGTTGCAATTTGTTTTTGTTGATAATGAGATCTAA